CTCGGTGGACACAAGACCTATTGACAGACCCTGGCAGCCGTCTGTAGGTGTGGGGGTGTAAGAATGGCTGCCGCCGGCACCTCTCAACAGTAGCCTGCTGTTCAGATGGGCCTGGCCAGTCATGGGGGAGAGGGCGGACTGGGAGCTTCATTCCTGTTTTCTGCATGGTGAGGCACTTTCAGGCAATATGTGTGACAGTTAGAATATGGAGGAGACAGACATTCACTTCATTGTGAAGCAGACAGACCCTTAGTGCCCCACACCAGCTGCAGGGTAGGCACATTTCCCCCGTGCCCCCTCCTGTCCGTTTTCCTGCTGGCTTTCCATAGCAGGTGCTGTCAATCACCCTCTGGTTCTCTGGAGATGGGAGGCCTTACTGCTGGCCCAGGGCAGGCAGGCAGTGTCCTTCCTAATATGACTCAACATGGAGCATCCTCACGACCTCTGACAGCAGGGCTTGGCTAGCTGGCCTGACTGCATAGTGGGAATGTGCTGTGAGAGCAGAACTGGCCTCTGTTCCCTGAGGCTCAATAAACATGAATAAACCACAGCTCTGAGTTGTCGCCTCCCTCAGTTCCTCACCAGGGCCCAGCCCTTTACTAGAGTGCTGCTTAGGAAATGAGGTGGCTCTTGCCTTAAAATGAATGACAGGAGAGTAGACAGACAGAGGCCACTGCCTGTTCCTCTCGCTGCATTTTGGTCCTAAGTTTCTTCCAAGATGAAAGACGGGCATGGAGAGGTGGCTCTGGGGTTAAGAGCACTTGCCTTTCTTTCAGAAGACCAAGTTCAGTTCCTAGCTCCACGTGGTGGCTTATAACCATCCATAACTCCAATTCGAGGGAATTTGATGCTTCTAACTTCCACAGGTACATGTACACATATGTACATAAAAGCAAAACACTCAAATACCAGTCTTTAATCCCAGCACTCAGGAGGCAGGTGGTCCTCTGAGTTCCAGGACAGCCAGAGCTATGCAGAGAGACCCTGTCTCAAAAAACAAAGGAACTAAGAATTAGAACTAAGCCAAATACGTTAAATATTGCTGATGCCTTCAGGGAATATTTAAAAATGTGTTGATCAAGAAAAACACCTAATGTATGGCAGATTTGGCCCATGCCTGCAGTTTTGGTTTTTGGGTTTTATAGACATGCCTGTAATAGACCCAGACCAAGGTGCATGTCTTCACTGGGGTCTAGTTAGAAGACCACAGCTTCAGAGAGGGAGGCCCTGGCTTAGCCCAGGCTGAGGGAGGTTCTTGAACCGTGAAGTGGACCAAGCAAAGCAAGGACTGAACAGTGTGTGATCTACTGACTGTAGATGCTGTGTGGTCCCCTCAGGACAAACTGCAGGGCCGAAGGGAGAATATTCCTGTCTCCCCACCGTTTCATGAGATTCCAACCAACTGAGTAAAATACAAACTCAGCAGAATTCTCTTCGATGGCAGGCACCTGGTAAATCTGCCTGGCATACAGTTTCTCCCCTGGAATATTGCTTCTGCCTGCCTGCCAGGGTGGATGCTAGGCCAAAGAGCCCATCAGTTCTGCATCCTTGAAGTGAGAACCTAGAGTCCATGCCCGGGGGTTGTGGGTGTGGGAAACTCCTGAGCTCTGGAAACAGAAGGTCCAGGGTGGCTCAGCTCCCAGCCTCCCATGGCCAGTTGGTCCATGTCTTGCTTTGCTGGTATTTCTTTCCCATGCTTTTCTTTGGGCTTACTTTAGGCATTCAGGATTGTATTTGTAGGCAAAAACACTGCCCAGAGGTAGGTAGAGTTGCCTGGCCCCCACTGGAAACCCCTTCTCCATGGAGGAGTTGCCTCCAGCTCAGGCTTACAGCCCCCCCCTAGACCAGGAGGAGGCCTCTGAGCAGAATGTGGTAATGCCCCTGACTCCCCATGTGATGTTGCCTGTCGATTGTAGCCTCACTTTCTGATTTTAAAATTTAGTCTCAAATGAGAGGTGGGTTTTCCCAGGTCTCATTTTCATCTGAGACACAGGAGACTCCAGTTCTGTGGTTTTCACATGGCCCAGTCCATGGGTCCATATGAATCAAGGCATTGCAGAGGACAGGGTACATTTAGGGCTTGGCACTCTCCCAGGCTTCCAGTAGACAATCCAAAATCATTTACTTTGCAAGCGTAGCTTAAAGACAAGTTTCCTAGCCCAGTGGACCCTTCACCATGACCAAAGAGACAGCAAAATGCCAGTGGCATCCCGAATCAGGCCAGTGCTGAGTGACTCAAAGCCTGTGCTTTATTAGATGTGCTCTCTGGATGGTAGAACTTGCTGCTTGGCCTCTTTGGGCCGAGTTACCAATCTGTCAAGGATGAGCCCACCCAGTCCCAAGGATTAGCTGTCCCTGGTTTAAAGATGCCAGGGGTGGGGTGGCGGTGGCTGGAGTGAGGAGTCTAGGGTGTCTGGTCCAAGTAACAAGCAGAGGCTGCCTATCTGCCTATCCAGTAAAATGGCTGCCAGGCTGAAGGAAGGTGAAGACTGGTGCGCTGTGCTGGAATCCTGCGAGAGGCCAGGGCGGCACCTGCCAGGGCCTCATTCCTGGCTGGGGTCAGCCAGGAGTTTTCTTCTGTGATTGAAGGGATCGGAACAACTGCCTCAGCTGCTCCTTCCGATCGTTGATGCAGCCTAGAAAGAACACGAGGTGTTGGTTGGGGTGGCCTGGATACCTCCTAGCTGGTACAGGAGGGGGCACCTCTGAGTATCAGCTTTCTCAGGATGGCACCACCCACCTTGTAGAGTGAGTTCAGTGATCAGCAAAGGCTTGAGCTGACTGGAGGTTCATCTGTTGCTTCAGGCACTGGCCCCAGATGGCTTGTTGAGCCCTCACAGGAATGGTGTGTAGCCAGGAAACTCAGAGAGGTGGTCATTTACCCCAAGAACTGAGAGTTGATCCCAGGTTACGTGGTGCCAGAGTCACATTCAACTGCTCTCCAGACTACCCTGCCCTTGTCTGCTCAGTGAAAGCACACATCAGCAGTGCCTGAAGCTAACTTACATATCCCTTACCCAGCACATCCTGGAAGTGTGTCCCAGGCAGTCCATGAGAAAAGGCTGCCTCTCCCGGCACAGTTCCCAGGCAACCTGTCCCTGCTTGGTCTCAGAGCTGGTTCTGAAGGCAACACTAGTCTTTAATCTTAGCCAGGCTCATTTATGATACTCATAAATGCTGCTTGGATACCCTGACACACCATGACCACAGGAATTGACCTGGAGATGCCTGCTTCCTACTTAGTAACTCCAGTTCCATCCTTGTCTCCAAGGCTGTCCCAGCTGTCAAGGCTTCAGCACCCCACCCTGTGCGTCCTTGACATTTTCCAAAGTGATTCCAGGGACCCTGCTTTAACGTTGTGGCTCACTCATCATGCCAAATCTTCAGGTTCAGTGCAAACCCTTTCTTGGAGCTCTAGACTTATCCCTGATTTTTTTTTCTAGCCCTTTCACCTAATGTCCCTGAACACATTCCTAACTTGCCCTCAACCCTCAGCATTCTCCCCTGCCTGCTCCCCAAACAACTCCTCCCATTTACCACTAACACTCAACTAGAAATTTGAAAGTAATTCTAGAGACTTCTACAAATATGGTTCTCTTTCTGCTCTGCCTGTTGGAGTGACTGCAAATCAACCATATCTTCATTTTAGGAAGTATCTGCATTTTTCCAAGTCCAGTGTCTGCTGTTGGAGCAACCATTGGCAACCAAGACAACCAGAGCATTCAGCCAACGTGCTGAGCGTGGCCAGGAGGGGAGCAAAGAGTCACCCAGGCATCTCAAAACTATTGTCAGTCGTCTATGCCGTACCTAACACTTTGGTGGCCCGAGACACCTCTCCCACCCCACCCCCCACCTCCTCCCACCTCCAGGGTCTTGTGAATGTTAGGCAAGCACTCTACCATTTTGCTATAACCCCTCTTTGACACGGGGATTTACTAAGTTAATTAGACTGGCCTTGAACCCACTCTGTAGTGCGGGCAGGCCTTGAACTTGTGACCCTCCTGCCTCAGGCTCCCAAGTGGCTGGGTTTACAGGATGTGGCACTAGACCTGGCTAGGTCAGCCCCTTTCTACTTAACTATTAGTTGGATTTTATTGTGTGCAGCCAAGCCCAGTCCTAAATCATACTAAACTCTTTAAAAGATATAAAACTTCTCATCATAAAAGAAACAGGAACTCAGCGCTCAGGAGCCAAAGGCAGGCGGATCTCTGAGCTCAAAGCCAACCTTAGTAAATTCCAGGCCATCCAGAGCTACATAGTGAGACCCTGTCACAAAAAATAAAATTTTAAAAAGGAACCTTAAAACAAGCAAATGAGAAACTCAGGAAAATGTTTACTGTACATTTGATGGAGCAGGGTGGGATGGGCCGTATCTTCAGCCATTAATGTCATGTCGTTACAAATGTAGAAAATTATAGGCAGTCCAGAGAAAAACAGGTACAGGCCTGGCATAGCAGCACACACCTTTAATCCCAGCACTCTGGAGGCAGAGACAGGAGGATTTCTGTGAGTTTGAGGCTGGCCTGGGCTACATAATGAATTCCAGGCCAGCCAGGGCTGCATAGTGAAACTTTGTCTCCAAAAAATTAAAGAAATAAAGAAGAAGAAAAAAACCACACAGGTAAAGGGGCCAGGCATGGTGGCACATGCCTACAACCCCAGCACTTTGTAGGCTGAGGCAGGAGGATTAGAAAGGACTTCGAGCCCAGCCTTAGCTCCATGATGAATTCCAGGCCAGCTTGGCCTGTGTGTGGCTCGATTGGTGGAATGTTTGCCTGACACACGTGAGGTCCTGGCTTCCAGTCCTGGTAGCACGAAAACCTGGCATGTTGGCACACACCTGTGGTCCCAGCACTCAGGAGCAGAGACAGGAAGATCATAAGTTCAAGATCACCTTGGCTGCATGGTGAGTTGAGCGACAGCCTGGGCTACATGAGAACCCGTCTTAACCACACCCCTAAACCCACACACAAAAAATAAATTTCCTATAAGAACTTGGCTCATGTTCCTTCATAAAAGTAGTCTATTATTAAAAGTAAAAAAGGAAAATCATAAAAAGCCAGGACATCTTACAAAAGAAGAAAGACACATTAAAAACTGGAGCCCCCTCAGAAATCAATGGAATTCACATACAATACTAATGAATTCATAAAGGGCGAAGGCTTGGACTCCTTTCCAGTTGGTCCAGTAAGTCTATCCCTTTGACCCAGTGACTCTGCTTCCAGGGATCTCAAAGAAAATAGTTTCAATGGGTTTCACAGGAGAGAATATTCACCACGATGTTATTTCGAAAAGTAAAGAGATGAAATTGTGCCAAATGCCAGGTGATAAGAAATCGGCTTGGTAAACGCTGGCACACACTCAGGCTGAAATGCTCTACAGCCATGTCATAACCGCTTTGTAGCTTACCTGGGACTAGGAGAATCTAGAGGTCGGGATTTGGGGGTTAGGGTTCAGGCTGGCCCATCACCATGACAACAGCCTTCTACAGTCTGTGCAACTGTTGGAGACCATTTCCTCACCCGTGGGGTGATCACAGAAGCTACCACATGGAATGTGGTAATGCACGTAAACATTTAGCCCAGCCCTGGCTAACACATGCTTCCCATGGGAGGGCCTTTGTATTCCTGAATGGAGGGATGCCACGTGGAAAGCGGGACTCTGAATGCCAGTCTGGTGCCAGATTTATAAAAATATGAATATATGCATTTTTTAAAACTGGAAGGAAACACCAGATTGTTAATGATGGTTATGTCTGGATGTGTTTTAAAATTCCCTTCTTTAGTTTTCAAATATTCTACAATGAGTGTGAATTTCTATAATTGGGAATTTTTTCACATTTTATATACGAACTTTATCGCAGAGTCCTGCAGTTGTTAACTTTTCTAATGATAATTTGTTCTCCACCTGAGTCCTGAAATCCCCCTCCTGATGGCTCAGTAATCTCTCACCATACTGGGCAGGGTCCTATCAGGAGTGTCCAATCTTTTGGTATTGTGACCAGACATTGTCATCTACAAAATTCACACTTGAAAACTGTGCAAAAAGTTATACACACACACACTCAAAGAAAAATTTCATAAGTATTTTGAGTATACGATTTTGTGTTGGACTGCAGTCATTGCTACCCTTAGCTGCATTTGGTTCATGGGGTCCCCAGGTTGCAGGTTGGACACACACCCTGAAAGACACTACTCATCTGTATGTTATGGATGAAGACCAGAGAGGGTAAGCCACTTGCCTGAGTCACACAGCTGGTATGCTGCAGGTTGGATTTACATGATCTCACTGCTATGCCAAGCTGCCCCCCAGTCTACCTGCACTTCCTATGATATTTCTGTCCCACTCACTTTCTGTCTGACTCGGCATACCTAAGTGTGTGTTGGTCACAAAGTTTCCCATCCCTGAAGGGTCGGAAGGCCCCTCCTCTCTGCTGACAGGGCCATCATTCCACATGAGGTCGAAGCCCCCGATTCTCTTCTCCTTTCCTGTGAGTCTAGGGGTGCAGAGGGTGAAAGAATATGCAGTTGGTGAGGCTTTAAGAGAGAACCCACCCACCCGACCTGAGCCAGGTGCCATGTAGCTCTCCAACAGGGCCGCCCTCAGTTCTTCCGAGGCCCTATCACTGTTAATAATGTGCTCCTAATTTGTGGTTTCTGGTTTAAAATATGATCCCCTCCCCAACCCAGGGATTCACCCATCCTTGAAGCTGGCCCTGTATTGTTTCCACTGGACATGGTGTTAAGAGTGTTAAGTAGCCTCTTGGTGAATGCTGTAAGCCAGGTACTAACAATGAATTGCCTCAGTGAGTTAATCTAACAACCCGAGGAGAGTTACAATGCTCCCTACTTTACATGTGAGGAGACTGTAGCTCAGTGAAGTGAAGTGACCAGCCCAGGGTCTCACAGTCAGGAAGCCCTGAGTAAATCCAGCTACACTGAGTTCTTGGGCCTATGGACATCTCAGTTTCTCCATCTGTGAAGCAAGTATCTCAAGGTTCTGAGTCACCTCTCTCTTGACAGGAGCCCATCGACCATGGATAGGGCATAAATTCCAGGACCTTACCTGGCCTCCATGTCCACCACATGCAGGGTGTCTTCCAGCAGGCAGGTCTTGAGTTCGTAGTCCTCCTGGCTGCTGGCCGTCAGTGAAGGAGATGCATTGACTTCCAGGAGCCACCTGGGGAGGGCAGAGGATAACTGGGGGGGTGTCAGAGATCCTGCCCACCTTCTGCCGAAAGGTTCATGGATGTAATGCAACAAATATCTCGGCATCTTACAGCTTAGAAAAGCATCCAAAAGATGGGCAAACACACCCAAGTGAGGATGGGAAATGAACGGAAAATGAATCCACGAAAATACAAGGGCTTGCCATAGCTCTAAGTTCAATGGTTGAGTAAAGATGATACCCAACAAGGTGGTGGAGAAAAATCTCACAACAGCCCTGTCTAGAAATGTTAAAACAATGGTTAAAGGATTGGAATAAAGTTACCCCATGTGGGCAGAAAGATACTCCTGGAAGCTCTAAGGTCACTGAATAAGAACGCCAGTGCTGGAGTGGGTTACCCCCGAGTTGGTGGCCAGGCTATTACACTGCTATTGTTGCGTGCCAGGACTAGATGGTAAGACCCTATTGCTGAAGACACTGCACTCTGGTGCAGGACACGGAGAAGCCGGACGGGGACTGGATGCTCCCTCCTTGCTGGTTAGCACTTGGGGGCTGAAGGCACTGTGCAGGCTAGTGGAGGGGAGTTAACAGTTTTGCTCAGCTGTAAGTGCAAAATGCTAGTACCGTCAGCACACCAGGTAAGACGTGCCCACTGGGAAGCTATTTTCCAACTGGATCTAAGGCCCGTCCTGCAGGAGGGAACCATGTGTGATACTGTCAATCAAGACGAAACTCTGTAGCTGGGAGGGAATAGGCCCTAGTGGATAAGCTCCTGCTGTTGTTTTGCTAAATGGACATGATACCCATGAAATGCCGTCTAAATCTAGGTGCTTATACATCCCGATTGTTTCTGCTTCAGCCCCGGCCTGGGAAGCCTCTTTCTACAGATGGCCGCAGTTACTGCAGAGACTCGTGGGTGCAAGAAAATAGCAATGGTTATGATGGCATTGCAGCCTGGTGCTCAACCCTAGAAGAGAGAAGAGAGTCAAACCTCTCTCACTCCCCCTGAGGCTCGGGTAGAAGAGCAGTCAGAGAGAATGTGAGGGCCCGAGCAATGGGAGGAACACTGAGAAATGCTGTCCCTGCGCAGGGTGAAGCTGTTGCTGTCTCCAAGTCAGAGAGGCTGTGATTTCCTACGTGAGACCCTCACAAGACTTGCCCATTCACGGTCCTTGGGAAAGGTGATGTGGGCTCCCATGGCCTCCCATGAGTTGAGGGCTCTCTCTTCCCATTCTCTAGAAACTGCTTAGCCAGGCTCTTGAGAGTAAAGTAACCCCACTTCAACTCATTGGTTTCCCTTGCTAGACTTAGGTAGAACTGTTTTCTCTTTTTCTTTTATCATGGCCCCTCCATCTGTGAATAGAAATAGACTCTTCACGAAAGGTCCCGCAACATCAATTCAGCAAACAGTAGGTAGAGGTCCCTGTAGAACCAGGCCTGCACTGATTAGATCTCAGCCCCACTTTACAGACTGGCAAACCGAGGCACAGTAAAAGGAAGCATGTCCGAGTTGGCACATCTAGGAAGTAGCAGAGCTGGGATTCAAATCATGGTGTCTGCACTGGAGTGTGTAGCCCATCATGACCCCTCCTCCAGCTCTCTGAGCCACTGCCCACTTACGGCTTGAGGTCCTGATCAATGAGGATGTCATAGCCATACAGCTCAAAGCAGTGCTTATCACTGATGATCACCTTCTGCACGCTCTGCAGGCTCTTGATGAAGATGTTGTCCATGTCACTGAAGAGTGTCTCTACGGCCTCAGGACCATGCTTGGATGCCAGGTACTGTCGGAAGCGCTGGAGCATCCATTTGCAACCCTGAGGCCCAGGCAGTCACAATGGGAGAGAAGCCCAGTTCATTGGAGCCCACCTGATAATCCTTGAATGAACCCATGTGCAGGGCCCCTCGAGCCTGGTGGGCGGGCTCCATCTGAGCCCTGGAATTAGGAAGTTTGGGTATGCTCCTCACTATGGAGTGAAGGCCTGCATAGTTAAGAGAACGGGATGTGTCTCTGGCCCATGGCCTACACAGATGGCTTCTCTTGGTGACTACACTGGCAGCCTTTTAGGGCAGAAAGGCGACCAGCAAGCTTCTGCTCCTAGGATTATATGATGTGAGATGAACCAGGGGAGGGGAAACAGGAGTGGGCTGGGAGTTCACTCATCCATTCCCCCTGGTCTGGCCCTTAACTCTGAGAAGTCTGAGCATTCTATAGTTGTACTGACTTTCGGGCTGTCATATGGATTGGTGACAAATAGTAAGTGGATATGATAGATAGATAGATAGATAGATAGATAGATAGATAGATAGATAGATAGATAGATAGAAAGAGAGAGAGAGAGAGAGAGAGAGAGAGAGAGATAGATAGATAGATAGATAGATAGATAGATAGATAGACAGATAGATAGACAGACAGGGAGGTACATAGGTAGACTGATGATTGATGGGCAGAATATCTGTATGATATACCAGCTGATGGGTTGGTTGATCATAAGAGATACCTAAGATATAGAATACATTTTGTTTAGGAGTACATTAGTTTGACATTCAAATATTGAGGTTCATGCCAGATGAACCCATCTCTGCAGATGGGAAGGGTGACTGTGCCCTCTCTGGTAAACTCTGGCCTGTCTTGGGCTCCATGTCACTCTGCTTGTCCCCCCACAACTTGGCCCAGAAGGAGGACAGACGCCTAGCTTCCTCACCTTTTTTGGGTGGTAGTCGGGAGATGTCTTCTGCACGGCGACATTGGTGAGGTGAACATCTGGCAGAGGTTGATGGTCAAGGGCTAGCATGGACAGAGAGGGGCAGCCATAATCCCTGCTGCCCCAGGAACTGAACTGAAACCCTGGCCCTGGCTTAAAGTTGACAAGAAAAGCTAAAAAATAGTGCAAAGTTTATATACATGGGCTTTGGAGTCAGATGGGCCTGGGTGCAAGTCCAGGGTGCATCTCAGGGGAAGGGAATTCCTGAACAACCTGGCTAAACTCTCTGAGCCTGGTTACCAGCTGTGCTGACTCACTTTATGTCAACCTGACACAAGCTAGAATTATCTGAAAGGAGGGAGCCTCAATTGAGAAAATACCTCTGTAAGATCTAGCTGTAGGGCATTTTCTTAATTAGTGACTGATGGGGGAGGGCCCAGCCCATTGTGGGTGGTGTCATCCCTGGGCTGACGGTCCTGGGTTCTATTTAAAAACAAAAAAAAAGCTGGCTGAGTAAGCCGTGGAGAGCAAGCCAGTAAACAGCACCCCACCATGGGTTCTGCATCAGCTCCTGCCTCCAGGTTCTGTCCTGACTTCCTTCAATGACAACCGACAATGTGGAAGTGTAAGCCAAATAAGCCCATTCCTCCTCAACTTGCTTTTGGTCATGGTGCTTCATCACAGACACCTAAGACACCAGACTGTTGACTGGGAGTACGCAAAGCACACTGGCTTCCCAGGGTGATTTGAATGATTGGATGAAGTGCCTCTTGAGTGCCTGGCAGAGCTGAGAGAACGATATTACAATTTCCAACTCACAAGGCAATGCCTGACAAGTGCAGAGACCACACACCGAGGGGGCTGGACTGGTGGCCCCTTTGCGGGAACATCAGAAAAGGGATCTAGTGTTGGGGAGCAGGCAGGGTGCTGAGACCCAGGCCTGCGGTCTGCCATTTGTCACACCTCCAGTGTGACACTGTGACCCACAAAACACCTCTCAAGTGCCATCTCATTTGCTCCTGAACAATCTCCACCTCATAGGCGACACTATAGAGGTTCAGAGAAGGACAGTGCCGCCATTCAAAACCTCTCCTCCTCATCCTTCCCCCAGGACTGTGAAGAAAGAAGCTGTGAGTTCCAGGAGGGAGGAAAGGGAAGGGGGAAATGTCGTAATTATATTACAGTCTTTGTATTACATAATTCTATCACAACTTGTATTACAACTTGACATTTCCCCCTTCCCTTTCCTCCCTCCAAACCCTCCCATCAATAAATCCTAAGGGGACAGTATATTTTAATATATCTAACAATAAATGTAAATTTTACTATCTCTCTTGGGGAAAAAAGTAGAAATGGGATTGTTTACAAATCAATCATCCATGTGGCACTTGTCTCATTCAGTCATGTCCTTGTCAGGGCGTTCTGATACCTCAGTACTTCGACATGCACAGTCGATAACGAGCATTGTGCGGATCAGTGCCCTGTAACCCACTCCCAACACTCAGGCTGAGTTGTGCTGTATTTGTGTGTGTGTGTGTGTGTGTGTGTGTGTGTGTGAATTATTGCATGTACACTATATATTATATATACCAAAGTTAAGATTGTCATTTCTTGTTTTGTGATCCAAAAATTATTATTTTAAAGGTTAGTATGTTTAGAGCTGGGGAGATAGCTCCATCATAAAGAGCTTGCCCCCCAAGCATGAGGACCTAAGTTTGATCCCCTGAAACCACGGGAAAAAAATTCTGGGAATGGCCAGGTATGGTGGCACACCTATTTAATCCCAGCATTCAGGAGGTACAGGCAAGTGAATCTCTGTGAGTTCAGGGTCAACCTGGTCTACAAGTTGAGTATCAGGCCAGCCAAGGATACATGGTGAGACCTTGTCTCAAAAACCAACCAACCAACTCTGGACATGGTGGCATGTGCCTGTAGTCCCAACACTGAGAGGGAAAGACAGGATCACTAGAGCCAGCAGGCCAGCCCAGCAGATGGTCTGGGTGAGCTCCAGGCCAGTGAGGGACCCTGATGCTCCTTCATAATCTTTTCTGCGGTTTTCTATATATTTTAATGTCAAGACTAAAAGAATTAAAAGAAGGGTGGAAAGTACTGTGCAGTCTCTCTGTGACTACTTAGTGAGTAAAGCCTCATTGAATGGAAATGGGCCCCTGGGATGGGTCCTGCTTCTTCAGTATATCCTCAGGATGCACAGGGCTGCATCAACACTCTGAAGTGGCATTTACGGAAGAGTCCCTCTGGCAGACAGTGTTCATGTGTTTTGCATGTTGTTACTTAATTTTAATAAAAACAAAGCAGCAATACAAACAAACTAAACTAAGTTGATGACATGCATGTGGGACATGCTTGTTGGAATTACAGGAGAAAATTAACATACTGGAGATGAGTCGGCAAAACAAGGGAAAGAAGTCATAAAGCATGCACAAGCATGGACAGGAAGGTCCAGGCAATGGGCAGGCAATACGGTCTATTACTTAAGGCACACACTTCAACAGAGAGACGAAATCGGGGCAGAGAGAGGAGGCTGGCTCAAAGCACGGGCTGGAATCCTCTTCTCACGTGTGTGTGTGTGTGTGTGTGTGTGTGTGTGTGTGTGGTTTATCTCCTTCCCACTCATTTTTCCTCCCCAAGACAGTTTCTGTGTCTAGTCTTTCTTTCTTCCCTCCTTTCCTTCCTTCCTCCCTCCCTCCCTCCCTCCCTCCCTCCCTCCCTCCCTTCTTTCTTTCTTTCTTTCTTTCTTTCTTTCTTTCTTTCTTTCTTTCTTTCTTTCTTTTTTTTGGCAGTGCTGGGACTAAACCTACAGCCTTGCATACAGGGCAAGAGCTCGCCACTGAGCCATACCCCCAGCCCTGTTCCTTGTCTGTCATTCAGAGATGCCTGTGCACAAAACCAACCAACCAACCGTGGATGTGGTCTGACCTGAGTGGGAGCAAACTTTCTGCTGTTCTCTCTAGTCTTTTTTCTTGGAGACTGTTTCCTCTCAGTATCTAAAGCATGCTCCAGCACTCCACTTAACAGCTGGGTAGTATTCCACTGTATAAATGCACCACCTGCCTTGTCTCCGAGGTTTTGCTCTCCATCAAGGATTGCCATGTGCAGCCTTTAAGCCTGTCGGTTCCCATGCTGTGGGTGTGTCTGTGGTGTTCAGAAGGGCTTGCTGGCTCCCAGGGTATGTGCATCTGACTTCTGGCAGTTATTTATCAGCTCATTCTGAGGGTTACAGCACTTTACATGCCCACCAGCCTCACACACATCCTCCTTCTCCCCTAGCTTGGCAGGACAGTGGGGTGTCCACCCATCGGGTAGTGAAGAAGGGACTGTATTTGAGTGAATGAGTGAGGTGAGCACTGAAAAGTGCATGAGGAACGGTGCAGAGGTTCTGCGAAGCTCAACCTGTCTGCTCCTATGCACACGGGTAAACCTGAGTGCTGGACACCCATGAAGACCACTATCCAGCGGAGACATTTGAGGGGCGCTGCTCTGAGCAGATCCCTCTCCCGAGAGCCTGGGAACCCCCAGAGAGAAAGAACTGAGCCGGTCTTGAGCAGGGACTCTGTGCTCAGATCCCAGGGAACCTGGGAAGTATCCTTGGGGTGGAAAAGTTCCGGGGTAGGTGAGGCTGGCTGGAGGAGAGGACGGGGAGGAATATCATTGGAAGGATACAATGGTCATCGATGCTGCTCAGTGTGAAGCGGGTGTTGGAGAACCGGGCAAAGCCATCACGGTATAGCCAAGCCCGCAGAGGGATGTACTGGTAGGGATGAGGGAGAGAGAAAAGGGAAATGATGCTCAGGGTTTGCAGGCCACCTGGCTCCTCACCTGGCTTCCTTCTGCCCAGAAGGCCCTGCCCTCTCTCACAGCAGCCTTCAGTCCTTCCCTCCATTCCCACCTGTGACTCCACCCCTTCCTCCCCTCGGGTGCAAAAGAAACAAAATGATGGTCTACCACCATGCATGACACTCCACCAGGACCTCAAGATCCTGAGGGATGGGCTAAGCCGGAGACACTGAATTCTTGTTCCCAGTAGAGTGTACATCATGAAGGTTAACTAGGTGCCGAATGGATAAATGAATGGACTATAAATGGGTGAAGGGAACACAGCAGGCTCTGGGGCCCAGGTGTCTGGATTTGAATCCCAGTTTGGCTAGTTACCTGCTGTGTGACCTTGGGCAAGTCATTCAACCTCTCTGTGTCTGTTTTTGCTTTTACTTTTTTGAGTCGGGATCTTGCTATACAACTGGCCTGGAACTCACTATGGAGATCAAGCGGGCCTTGAACTTGAGATCCTCCTACTTCTGCCTCCCAAGCACTCTTTTGGCTAACCTTTATGCATCCATTCTCATCTGTAAGATGAGGCTAGTAACCGAAGGACTCACTGAGTTGTTACAATGGAGTGAGAGGCACCTGCTGAGTGCTGGGGCCTGGTGCTCAGTAGATGCTCAGTACATGTTTGCTAAGGTTCCCTGCAGAGCTGAGTGAGAGAGGTGGGAAATACAGCTCTGGACACGGGCAGTAGGATGTAACACTAGGGACATCCACCTCAGTGGCCTTATCCATCCCTGGGCTCACAGGAGGCCCGGCCTGGGTAACTCACCGACATCACCAGAACATAGACTCGCAGGTCAAACTTGCGGCCTGTGGGAAAGAACTGGTGTGTGTAACAGACACTGACTGGCTGTCGGACGGTGGGCTAGGCTTCCGATCATATCCGGAGATGGACAGACAGTCAGGGCTCTGCCTGTCTGAGGCTCCAAGCACGGTTACACAGGGCACAGGGAGAGGATGGGTGGGTAGTGTTGGGACAAGGCTGGAGGCTTAGTGGCCAAGGAAAGTCCTATGAGAGGTGGAGACTGACTGACAAACACACGGACAGGTGAAGGCCCAGTCCAGGCTGGTAGGACCTTCTGGCTGGACCTAGATACAGATGGTCAAAGAGCCTGGGCCAGGGAGGGAAAAGAAAGGAAAGTGAGTCAGGTGACAGGGGAGACAGGTGACAGAGGAGACAGGTGACAGGGGAGACAGGTGACAGGGAGGCAGGTGACAGGGGGGACAGGTGACAGGAGACAGGGGACAGAGGAGACAGGTGACGGGGAGACAGGTGACAGGTGAGACAGGTGACAGGGGAGACAGGTGACAGGAGAGACAGGTGACAGGGGAGACAGGGGACAGGGGAGACAGGGGACAGAGGAGACAGGTGACAGGAGAGACAGGTGACAGAGGAGACAGGTGACAGGAGACAGGTGACAGGGGAGACAGGGGACAGGGGACAGGGAGACAGGTGACAGGGGAGGCAGGGGACAGGGGAGGCAGGTGACAGGGAGACAGGTGACAGGGGGGACAGGTGACAGGAGACAGGGGACAGAGGAGACAGATGACAGGAGAGACAGGTGACAGGGGAGACAGGGGACAGAGGAGACAGGGGACAGGGGGGACAGGTGACAGGAGAGACAGGTGACAGGTGAGACAGGTGACAGGGGAGACAGGTGACAGGAGAGACAGGGGACAGGGGAGACAGGGGACAGGGAGACAGGTGACAGGGGAGGCAGGGGACAGAGGAGACAGGTGACAGGAGAGACAGGTGACAGGGGACAGGTGACAGGGGAGACAGGTGACAGGAGACAGGTGACAGGGGAGGCAGGTGACAGGGGAGACAGGTGACAGGGGAGACAGGTGACAGGAGAGACAGGTGACAGAGGAGACAGGTGACAGGAGACAGGTGACGGGGAGACAGGTGACAGGAGACAGGTGACAGAGGAGGCAGGTGACAGGGGAGACAGGTGACAGAGGAGGCAGGTGACAGGGAGACAGGTGACAGGGGAGACAGGTGACAGGGGAGACAGGTGACAGGGGAGACAGGTGACAGAGGAGGTAGGTGACGGGGAGACAGGTGACAGGGTACAGGAGACAGGGGAGACAGGGGAGACAGGGGACAGGGGAGGCAGGTGACAGGGGAGACAGGGGACAGGAGAGACAGGTGACAGGGGAGACAGGTGACAGGGAGACAGGTGACAGGGGACAGGAGACAGGGGAGACAGGGGACAGGGGAGACAGGGGACAGGAGACAGGGGAGACAGGGGACAGGGGAGGCAGGTGACAGGGAGACAGGGGACAGGGGAGACAGGGGACAGGGGAGGCAGGTGACAGGGGAGACAGGTGACAGGGGAGACAGGTGACAGGGAGACAGGTGACAGGGAGACAGGGGACAGGGGAGACAGGGGAGACAGGGGACAGGGGAGGCAGGTGACAGGGGAGACAGGTGACAGGGGAGACAGGGGACAGGGGAGACAGGGGACAGAGGAGACAGGGGACAGGGGAGACAGGGGACAGGAGGCAGGTGACAGGGGAGACAGGTGACAGGGGAGACAGGGGACAGGGGAGACAGGTGACAGAGGAGACAGGGGACAGGGGAGACAGGGGACAGAGGAGACAGGGGACAGGAGGCAGGTGACAGGGGAGACAGGGGACAGGGGAGGCAGGTGACAGGGGAGACAGGTGACAGGGGAGACAGGGGACAGGGGAGACAGGGGACAGAGGAGACAGGTGACAGGGGAGGCAGGTGACAGGGGAGACAGGTGACAGGGGAGGCAGGTGACAGGGGACAGGTGACAGGGGAGGCAGGTGACAGGAGACAGGTGACAGGAGGCAGGTGACAGGAGACAGGTGACAGGGGAGGCAGGTGACAGGGGACAGGTGACAGGGGAGGCAGGTGACAGGAGACAGGTGACAGGAGACAGGTGACAGGGGAGGCAGGTGACAGGAGACAGGTGACAGGAGACAGGTGACAGGGGAGACAGGGGACAGGGAGACAGGGGACAGGAGGCAGGGGACAGAGGAGACAGGTGACAGGGGAGACAGGTGACAGGGAGACAGGTGACAGGGGAGACAGGGGACAGGGGAGACAGGTGACAGGAGGCAGGGGACAGGGGAGACAGGTGACAGGGGAGACAGGTGACAGGGGAGACAGGGGACAGGGGAGACAGGGGACAGAGGAGACAGGTGACAGGGGAGGCAGGTGACAGGGGAGACAGGGGACAGGGGAGGCAGGTGACAGGGGAGACAGGTGACAGGGGAGACAGGTGACAGGGAGACAGGTGACAGGGAGACAGGGGACAGGGGAGACAGGGGAGACAGGGGACAGGGGAGGCAGGTGACAGGGGAGACAGGTGACAGGGGAGACAGGGGACAGGGGAGACAGGGGACAGAGGAGACAGGGGACAGGGGAGACAGGGGACAGGAGGCAGGTGACAGGGGAGACAGGTGACAGGGGAGACAGGGGACAGGGGAGACAGGTGACAGAGGAGACAGGGGACAGGGGAGACAGGGGACAGAGGAGACAGGGGACAGGAGGCAGGTGACAGGGGAGACAGGGGACAGGGGAGGCAGGTGACAGGGGAGACAGGTGACAGGGGAGACAGGGGACAGGGGAGACAGGGGACAGAGGAGACAGGTGACAGGGGAGGCAGGTGACAGGGGAGACAGGTGACAGGGGAGGCAGGTGACAGGGGACAGGTGACAGGGGAGGCAGGTGACAGGAGACAGGTGACAGGAGGCAGGTGACAGGAGACAGGTGACAGGGGAGGCAGGTGACAGGAGACAGGTGACAGGGGAGGCAGGTGACAGGAGACAGGTGACAGGAGACAGGTGACAGGGGAGGCAGGTGACAGGAGACAGGTGACAGGAGACAGGTGACAGGGGAGACAGGGGACAGGGAGACAGGGGACAGGAGGCAGGGGACAGAGGAGACAGGTGACAGGGGAGACAGGTGACAGGGAGACAGGTGACAGGGGAGACAGGGGACAGGGGAGACAGGTGACAGGAGGCAGGGGACAGGGGAGACAGGTGACAGGAGGCAGGGGACAGGGGAGACAGGTGACGGGGAGACAGGGGACAGGGGAGACAGGGGACAGGGGAGGCAGGTGACAGGGGAGACAGGTGACAGGGGAGACAGGTGACAGGGGAGACAGGGGACAGGGGAGGCAGGTGACAGGGGAGACAGGTGACAGGGGAGACAGGGGACAGGGGAGACAGGGGACAGGGGAGACAGGTGACAGGAGACAGGTGACAGGAGACAGGTGACAGGAGACAGGTGACAGGGGAGACAGGGGACAGGGGAGGCAGGGGACAGGGGAGACAGGTGACAGAGGAGACAGGTGACAGGAGACAGGTGACAGGGGAGGCAGGGGACAGGGGCCAGGCCACGTGCGGATGAGGACAGTGATGCAGACAGGACAAATCTCCATGCAGTCTTTGAGGTTTGTTCTACAAACCACAAGGAACCACTGGCTAGAGGGTTTGCAGGCCACCTGGCTCCTCACCTGGCTTCCTTCTGCCCAGAAGGCCCTGCCTTCTCTCATAGCAGCCTTCAGTCCTTCCCTCCATTCCCACCTGTGACTCCACCCCTTCCTCCCCTTGGGTGCAAAAGAAACAAAATGATGGTCTACCACCATGCATGACACTCCACCAGGACCTCAAGGTCCTGAGGGATGGCTACAGGCTACTGTGTTGTGTGGAGTCTAAGGGACCGGGGCAGCGGAGCACCGTGGGACCAGTACAGCCATCCAGGAGGGAGACAGCAGCAAGCTGAGACAGGGACAGTGGAAGGAGAGGTGGTCAGACAGACAGACAGACAGACAGACAGCTTTAGAACTGTGGAACCTAGTGAAGAACAGTAGAAAGGGGACTGGAGAGATGGCTCGGTGGTTAAGAGTGTGTACTGCTCTCCAGAGGACCTGAGTTCAGCACTCAGCACACATATCGGGGGGCTCACACCTCCTTTATCTTCAGCTCCAAGAGACTGGATGCCTCTTGCCTCTGCACCCGCACTCACCAGCACATACCACACACAGACACAAGCACCTACACATAATTAAAATAATAAACACAGATTTAAAAAGGAGAGGACAGTGGCAAGGACGGACCAGAGGCACCAGACACTTCCCAGATGCTGGCTTAGCAGCTTGGGGGAGGAGAAGCCATGGCCTGAGTGGAGAAGCTGCAGAGTGGCCAGACTGGGGAGCACTTTTGAATCTGAGGCACACTGGTATGGAGTTGCTGGGAGAGTCCCAAGTGATTTGGGGTTCAAGGGCAAGGTCTTGACTGAGGACAGAGAGCTGGGGGAGGAAAAAAAGAGAAGAGACCTAGTGGCTACCCCCACCACCCAGGGTCATTGCCAGGGGACAGGGAAGGGGCTGGGGGGAGGCAGGTGGCATTAGCATGGCTACAGCGAGACCCCTTAGGTAACCCATAAACACAGGGGAAAGCCCGAGGCTGTGGTGATATATTGTGTCTCCCAATATATTGTACACCCCAATAAACTTAGCTAGGGGTCAGAGAACAGAACAGCCATAATATTAAACATAGAGGTTAGGCAGTGGTAGCACACGCCTTTAACCCTAGCATTCCAGAGGCAGAGATCCATCTGGATCTCTGTGAGTTCAAAGCCACACTGGGAACAGCCAGGCATGGTGACTCATGCCTTTACTCCCAGGAAGTGATGGCAGAAAGCAGAAAGATATATAAGGTGTGAGGACCAGGAACTAGCTGGTTAAGCTTTCAGGCTTTCAAGAAGCAGTTCAGCTGAGATCCATTTGGATAAGGACACAGAGGCTTCCAGTCTGAGGAAACAGGATCAGTTGAGGAATTGCAAGGTAAGGAAGCTATGACTTGTTCTGTTTCTCTGATCATTTAGCGCTGACCCCAATAACTGGCACCAGGTTTGTTTTTATTAATAAGACCTTTTAAGATTCATGCTACATCTGGTGCCCAACGTTCGTGGTATGAGTTAATGAAAAAGCTGCCTGCCTGTGGCCTTGTAAGCCCCAGCTCTGCCCCGAGCTACACTCGGCCGGTTGTGGTGGTGCATTCCCATAGGATTTGCTGAAGGAGACAGAGGCAGGAGGATCCCAAGTTTGAAGTCGGCCTAGGAGGCTTGCTAAGGAGAAGCTTCAGCCGGGGCCGAGCCACAAACGGTGGTGGGACCATGGAGGCACAGGCTGCTGCTCCAAGTTGCTGGCTGCTTCTCATCCTGTTGGTGACTGCAGTGATGCTGCTACCTGGGACAAAGGGTTTATTGCTGCTTGTTCAGAGAAGAATTGCCAGGACCATCGTGTTACATGGCAAAGGTCAGTTTGGAAAAGTTTGGTAAGACAAATGGTGGGGAGAAATTTCTGTGAAGATTTTCTCTTCTAGGGAAGAATGTTCATCGTTCGGAGAGACAGACATTTATCAGACTGTGATTGCTCCAAACCACAGAGGAGGCACACACACACACACACACACACACACACACACACACACACACACACACACACACAAAATCTGCAGGAAACCATGACCACGTCTAACGGCAACTTTGAAATCTTCAAAAGGATGATGGGACCCACAACGATGATTCCACATGGACTATGGTAAAGCCATTAACACCACGGAAAGATTGACTTTGGACTACAAACTACTCAGGACAATTTCGAGATGGCTAGCTGAGATGATCCAGATTCATAGACTACTCGAGCAAGGACTTGAGACAAGCCCTACATTTTCCCATTATGCAGAGACTGGACAAATGATACAGCTAACTCTCTCAGGACTTGACAATTAACCCAAAAATTTTCTTTTCAGGATTCCTTAAAGATGTCTTTACCCCCAGAAAGCAGGAAGTAATGTTAAGAAAATGACGCCCACATTCCCAAGAGGTGGGGTGGGTGTTTTTTGATCATTCAAAAAACTTATGGCTTATGGATAATTGTCATTGTTTATGATGATTGGTTACAAGTTGTTAATTGTTAATGGTCAGGAAAAACGCTGAACAAGGAGATTAGATTCAGTTTTTGTTTAAAAAAGAAAAAAGAGAATATAGATATGAGGTAGGTCATTGAATCTACTCTGAGAAAAAAAGATAAAGAAATAATAGGATAAATGGGTAGATGATTGAATCTACTCTAAAAAGAAAAAGGGGGAAGATATAAAAATGACAAAAGGTAGATTATTGAATCTATTATGAAAAGAAAAAGGAGAATATGGATATGATAAGATAAAAAGGTCAATTACTGAATCTACTTTTAAAAAGGAACTACAAGCCGGGCGGTGGTGGCGCATGCCTTTAATCCCAGCACTCGGGAGGCAGAGGCAGGCGGATCTCTGTGAGTTCGAGGCCAGCCTGGGCTACCAAGTGAGTTCCAGGAAAGGCGCAAAGCTACACAGAGAAACCCTGTCTCGAAAAACCAAAAAAAATAAATAAATAAAAAAATAAAAAGGAACTACTTGTTTTAAATAGGATAAGTAATGAAATTTTTGTCTGAGTTTATCAAATGTTACTGGACTGGATATATATATATAGGGGTTTTTTGTCTAAATTTGTCTAATGATAATGGACTAGACATTGTTAATGTAATTCTTGACTATATATTGTATATACTTATTGGATATAGTTTTTCTTGTATTAGTTATAAGCTTTTTTAAATTTTAGACAAAAGAGGGGAAATGTGGTGATATATTGTGTTCCCCAATATATTGCGCACCCCAATAAACTTATCTGGGGGTCAGAGAACAGAACAGCCATAATATTAAACATAGAGGTTAGGCAGTGGTAGCACACGCCTTTAACCCTAGCATTCCAGAGGCAGAGATCCATCTGGATCTCTGTGAGTTCAAAGCCACACTGGGAACAGCCAGGCATGGTGACTCATGCCTTTACTCCCAGGAAGTGATGGCAGAAAGCAGAAAGGTATATAAGGTGTGAGGACCAGGAACAGGCTGGTTAAGCTTTCAGGCTTTCAAGAAGCAGTTCAGCTGAGATCCATTTGGATGAGGACACAGAGGCTTCCAGTCTGAGGAAACAGGATCAGTTGAGGAATTGTGAGGTGAGGAAGCTGTGGCTTGTTCTGTTTCTCTGATCATTTAGCGTTGATCCCAATAACTGGCACCAGGTTTGTTTTTATTAATAAGACCTTTTAAGATTCATGTTACACAAGGCAGCTGCCCGGGCTTCAGGAAGGGAACTGTTCCCCAGCAGCCTCTGCCCTGGCAGTGGCTTCTCCCACAGCATTCTTCCTCCATGTCTGCTCAGGAGATCCCAGAGGTGACCTGGTTCCCTGATCCCCATGTGTGGCTGAACTTCTTCAGGCTTGCAGTTGCCTGCTCATGTGGAGCACAGGCTCCTAGAGCAGAGTCCCGGACAGTGGCTGGCACCTAGGGGGCTCTTTGTAAATGTTTTGTTGGATGAAAGCGTGAATGAATGAACTGGCTTCCAAGGAGAACGCATGAATGAATGAATGAACTGGCTTCCAAGGAGAAAGCATGAATGAATGAATGAACTGGCTTCCAAGGAGAATTTCCCCGGCCCCAGCGGGAGTGGGAAGAGCATGCCAGGCTGGGGGAGTTATCATGCACAGGCCACAGCTAGGAGGAGTAGAGTACAGGACAGGTCTCTGTCCCTGTCCCCTTTCAGGCCTGACGACAGGCCCGGTCTTTGCTGACTTAGGAGTTGACTGAGTGCTCAGAGGGCACGGGACAGACACAGCCCAACCATCTTACCTCCTATCAAGTAGGGGTTTTCCACGTAGCGCTGAGCCACATAGTTCTCCACTGGCATCTCTTCTTTCTGGTCATCAGAATTCTTTGTGTCCTGGGTGTGATGACACTAATCAGTAACACACACCGAGAGGGCCCTGTGTCCTGGTTGTGATAACACTAATCAGCAACACACACTGAGAGGGCCCTGTGTACGGGGTGTGATAACACTAATCAGTAACACACACCGAGAGGGCCCTGTGTCCTGGTTGTGATAACACTAATCAGCAACACACACTGAGAGGGCCCTGTGTTCTGGTTGTGATAACACTAATCGGTAACACACACCGAGAGGGCCCTGTGTCCTGGGTGCCATGCCAGCCACTATACCTGGGGTATCTGATTGGATCCTTACGTCGATCCTCTCAGGTAAGAACTAATGTTATTCCCATTTTACAGATGCACACCTGAAGCCCAGAGAGGTAGGGTGACTTGTCCAAAGTCACACACCTGGCCAGAGGTCCAGCAGGGATGTGGAGCCAAATGTAGTTTGAGCCTGGAGTCTGAGTTACTCTTTAGACCTGTGCTGCCCCAGAAGGCAGCCGCTGGCCACATGTGGACATTGACATCTACATTCATATTGATAAAAGGGAAATGAAACTACATGCTGTGACATGGATAAAACCTGAAGCCAGTGCCTGCATGAAATAAGGCAGCAACACAGGGTCCACTTCTCTGAGTCACCAGAATCGTCAAAGGCCTCAGAAAGCAGCAGGGTGGTGGAGGTCAGTGTGGAATGGGTAGAGTTTGGACTTGAGGTGGTGCAAAAACTCTGGCCATGGGGTTTTGAGACAAGTATACGAGATGAATGCCCCCGGCACTTCAGAACTGAACACGGAAAAATGTCAAAGGGGTCTCAGTCAGTAAACTGCTGGGTGCACAGCATGAGGACCTGAGTTCAGATCCTGAACACCACACACAAGCAGGGATGTAAGCACTGGGGAGGCAGAGACAAGAGGATCCCTGGAGCTCACTGGCCCCCCAGTCTAGCTGAATGGGTGAGCTCCAGATTCAGTGAGAGGCCCTGTCTCCAAAGTAAGGAGGGTAATTGAGGAAGACACTCAACCTCTGCCGCCCCCCCCCCCATGTATGTGAATGGTTAAAATGCTAATTTGTGTGTTCTATAGTTTAATCCATCGAGGGGGTGGTACTGTTGGAGCTGGGGGTGGAAGGCAAGGTGTCTGATAGACAAGCAGCTGCCACTGAACCATGCCCTCTTGGCCCTTCAATTCTCAGAGGAAATGAAATTTCAGACTTTTAGCCCTTTGGTGAGTTTAGTGGCAGATCACTTGCCTAGTGTGTAAAGGCTCTGGGTTCTGTCAGAGAGGGAGGTAGGGAAGAAGGGACGAGGGAAGGGAGGAGGAAGGAAGGGAGAAAGAGGTGAAGCGGGGAGGGAAGGAGGGAGGATCAATTTCCTTTTGGGAGTCCAGGGCTTAGCCTGAGACGAGAAATCACCCATGCCACGGATGTAGAAGTTCCAGCACAGTGCTCCCGGGAGAACCTCAGAGCAGGGGAACCCCTTCCTCTCTTACCCACCAGCTCAGGGGACAGCAGCACTCCCAGGTACAACCCTCCCTGTGACCCCTCAACCCTATCTCAATGACCTCATGAAGAGCCAAGACCAAACCCCAGAGTCACACACTCTCTGGGCTCCCAAGCCACCCCGTGGTAAGCACATGGACTAGGGGCTTCTGGCTGTCCGGGCAGTGCCTCCTCCTACCCAGCCAGGCCAATCCTTCCCAGGCCCCTCCTCACTACTTCTACTCACATGGCTGGCTGAGGGGTTCACATTGGTACGGGCAGGCTGCGCCTCCACAATGGTGAGCTTCTTTCCCACAGTGCCCTGACAGGTGCACAGGATACATAGACATGTGTGTAATGGGAGAGCCATTTATTAAGCACTTGCTTGTAGCCTCTGGGAGTTGAGTCTTCCTGCTCCCCACCCCCAGCACCGCTGTCAGCCGCAGGGTTCAGAAAGCCCTGGTCATATTTTTAAGAGCACAGCTGCTGATTGGGATCCTGCTCATAAGCACATCGGATCCTCAGCAGGCACTAAAGAGTAGGGCAAGGTCAGGATTTGAACCCAGGGCTGACGCTCTTGTGGGCAACCTTGTCAGGCAACCCTGTGAGCTTTGGGGGAAGGAAGGTGTGGCCTCCTCCTGGAGGAGGAAGGAGAAAGGGGGGCTCACCTTCCTCCAGTCCATGATGTCCTTCAGTCTCCGGAAGAGAAAGATGCCCTTCCCCTGAGATCGGGCGACCTGACCGGGGCGGGGGGGGGGGGGGGGGGGGGGGGGGGATGGGGGGGGATGGAGAAAGGCAGAGCTCATCTCAGGGTCCCTCCCTGGCCCCCATTCCCAGGGCCTTCCCCAGCTCATCTCTGTGTCCATCTCCCCATGGGCTCCAGTCTCCACTCAGAGGAATGGCCATTCAACCCCCTTGGGGCTGAAGGAGGAAAGTGAGCTGGGATTTGCTACAAAGACGTACATTTGCATGAATAATGCAGAAGGACAGACACTTAAGAAACCATCGCAGTCAGTCCTGGAACATATCATCCAATGCTTTTTTTGGAAATCAATTTGCCTTCCTAATTAGGTTTTGCTTCGGCTAGTACTGGAATCATTCTGCCTTTACTGCACCCTGCCATAGGTAATTCATGGCCTCCCAGAGGCGAGGGGGCTGGGGGAGTTTTTTATATCTTGTCGTGTTCCTGATTTCTGAGATGTTCACCCGCCTGGCCTTGCATAGGAACACTGCCAGCTTGCCCACCACCCTCTCCACACCCCACAGTTCACTGGTATTGCAGGATAGTTTTGTTAAGCAAGGTATGTTGGCATGTGTGTGTGTGTGCCCGCGTGCGTGCATGCGTGCATGCATGCACATATGCATGCGGGTGTGTGTGTGTGTGTGTGTGTGTGTGTGTGTGTGTGTGTGTGTGTTGCTGAGGATCAAACCCAGGATCTGGCTTTTAGTAAGCAAGCAATCTACCACTGAGCTACAGACCATTCCCAGGACTTACGCTGTATCTGTCACTTAGATGGCTGACGTTTCCCAGCAGAACCTGTATGGAGCTTAGACCTGCTATCTGGCCTGGCTTCTGTGGCCTTTGAGACCAGCTTTGGCTTCTGGTGCCAGCTCAATCCTTTAGTTATCTGAGCTACTGAGCAGGACCTTGGGGAGGCCTCTTTTCTCTGGCATGAATGCACCCAGTGAGTGCAAAGCCTCCTTCCCTCCATTCTCTGAGCAGGGGCCCCAGGCCCTCCAGGCTTCAGAAGGCCTGACAGCAGGTGGTTTGCTCACATCTGGGCAGAGCTAGAAGCAGAGAAAGACAAATGCCTCTTCCTTTCTCCCTGCTTTATTCACTCTGGGACACAAGCCCATGGGAATCCAAGGTAGATCTTCTCTGGTCAATTAAACCTCTCTGGAAACACACGCCTAGACACCCCAAGGGTGTGCCTCATTAATTTTGTAGGTGTTTATTAATCCGGTGAAGCTGACAATGTGTTATCATCACAAGTCTAAGCTCTGCCAGCTTGGCACACAAACACATCACTTTAAGCACAGTACCCTGCCCTGGCCCCACAGGACGGTGGCCATCCCAGTGTGAACTGCATTCCTTCTGACTTCAAAAGCCTCCCCACTGTCTTAACAGTCTCAGTTCTGTTCAAAACTCCTAAATCCAATCTAGGCATGGTGGCTCACGTCTTTTAACCCCAGCCCACAGGAGGCAGAAGTAGGCAGATCTCTGAGTTCCAGGACAGCCAGAGCTACATAGTGAGACCCTCCCTCTCTCAAAAAATAAAACAAAGCAAAAAGCCCTAAGTTCAGAGCCACTCACAATGAAGCACACCTTTAACCCCAGCACTCTGGAGGCAGAGGCAGTGGACCTCTGAGTTTAAGCCCAGCCTGATCTACAGAGTGACACCCTGTCTAAAAAAACAAAACACAAAGAAGTTCTAGGTCCAATGTCTCTTCTGACACTCAAGACAGTCTACTCTGAGCCCCTGTAAAATTAAAACACAAGTTATATACTTCTAACACACAATGTCATAGAAAGAAATTGCCATTTCAGAAGGGAGAGATAGAGTATGGCAAGGTAATATAAGGTCAAAGCAAGACTGAAATGCCTCCAGGGCAGCGTCTGGGGCTCACGTGGACTCAACAGCCTTGGGGAGCTCCACCCCTCCAGCTCTGCCACCCGCAGCTCAGTCTTTCCCTTAGACCTGTTCCACTCCATGCTTTGGCTCTCCCTGGCAGACATGCTTTGGTCACAGCATCTCCAGCTTCACACAGTGGCTTCTCGGGGCACTTTGTGGGTAACACTCTCCTGCCCTACACTGACGGTCTAAATGACTTTCTGGAACCTTGATGAAAGTTGCCACAACTCCCTCTCAACTCTTGTACTTTTATGGCTGCAAAACCAGAGCCATGTGGATACTGCTGCTGAATTCTGCTGCCAGCTTGAGGTGCAGTCTGGTGCTGGGATTGAACCCAGGGCCTTGGGCCTGCTAGGCAAGCACTCTACCAACACAGCCACCTCACCAGACCTTGTAACTGATTTTATACCAGTGTGGCCACTCTCAGTCCTTATTCCCTTATCAGTCCTGCCCTGCCCCCAGAGACCATATCCATTATGTAACTGTGAATACTGGTGCCATTTGGGAAGTGTTGCTTGTAAATGTCTCCCACAAAGCCTCTCCCACTTCGTCCCACCCAACAAACTGTGTTTGATCAACTCTTCCTAGGGGCCCTTGGCTGAGGGTCTGTGTCCTCATGGTGGCTCTATGCTAATGCCATGTGATTGGCTCAGGCTTCGGCCTTCAGGATGCCAGGGAGTCTGCTGGGGGGAGGTCTGTGTCTTCTTCGAGGGAGAAGCAAGACAAAGTATTCCTTTGTCTGGTGGCAGGTGGAAGTGTGATGAGGGGAAGGTGGAGCTGCAGGAGCCATGTTGTGACCCGGGAGGAGCAGCTTGCCTGCTGGGTAGGAATGAATGGCACGGTTGAGCTACCCAATAAACCTTCCTTGGCTTGACTGTTCTTGTTAAATAATGCCACCCAGGGTCTAGGAACTTCAATGAGAAGACTTTTTTTCATCTTTAATTTTTTTATTCATATCTAAGCAGACTTTTGCATTTCTTTCTGTGATGTGTGCTGGCAACACGTCTTGGGCGTGTTAGTCACACCTGTGACTTTACCATCAGAAGCAATTACAGTCTCTTTATACCACGTGACAACGGTTTCATAGATGTCAAAAGAGTACTTGTGTGTCTTATGACTGAAGCTACTGTAGGGATGGAACCTGCTGTTAGGCCCTTTAATATGTAATGAGGGCAAGAGGATGCTTAATAGTGTGTGAGCTGCGCCATGGAGAGTGCATGGGTCTCCACTGCAGGAGAGTACTCCCCTGAGTGCTCTCCCTCTCACCCACCCCCAGGCACTCTGCGCTCTGCAGACAGTGACAGTGCAACTCGGGGTGGGGGTGGGGGGATGGGAGGACAGCTGCACATTCTGCAGCAGCAGGACCTTCTCTCTCACACTTTCCCCCTCCCTCCCTCCATCCCTCCCCTCCATCCCTCCCTCTTTCTCTCCTTCCCTCCCAGTCTTTCAGCTCCATCTGCCTGGCCCTGCTCATCTTCTCCAAGAGGCACAACTCTGGCATATTTAGTCTTTCTTGACATCCCGGAGGGCCCAGACTAATGTGTTTTTAATAACTGTTTTTCAGCATAGCTGCTTTCTTTTGTAATTTTCAAATGTTACGCTTTGAAAGCCCCCATTCTTTACTGTGTTTTGTTTTGGGTTTTTGAGGCAGTCTCACTACGTGTCCCTGGCTGGCCTGGAACTCCCTGATAGACCAGGCTGGCCTCCAACATTCTCCTGCCTCTGCCTCTCGAGAGCTGGGATTATAGACATGTGCCACCACCCCTGGCTGAAAGCCACTGTTGTGTCATGGGAATATGCTTCTCTCCAGTTTCATGACATTGCTCAGATTTCATATGTCAATCCTGTCTCATAAAAATTGGCTTTAAATAAAGCATCATTCTGTGACTCACTTAGTGCGTGTCCCCACATACACAGAGACAGACAGTTCAGAAGACCCACACTCTTGCTTAAGCCCCTGGGAGATGGTTTTTCTGCTCTTCACCAACCACGCAGGACAGCTCTCAGGAGGGTTCAATGACAGCCTCAGCACCTCCATTCAGACTCAGCAGAGGAACAAAATGCCTTAGAGTGGGGAACAGCTAAGGTTGTCCAAGATACCACCACCTGGGGCTTAGAGCAGCTTCATGGACACACAGACTGACGGACAGGCACAGTCCTGACCCGCATACCTGCTGCCTCATACCCTGAGAGTGGCTAGAAGAGATGCTGTGCTCCTGGGGTCTGCGCCCTGCCCAGGCCCTCTATCCCAGCAGAGAAGTGGGGATGCAAGGGCAGGTGGGAGAAAAGCTGGATGTGTGTGACTTCTTTTATACTAGACTGGACTTAAATTCCATTTGTTTTTGTTTGACCTTTTTTGGGGCTGAGGGTTGAACCTAGGGCCTCAGGCAGGCTAGGCAAGCACTTTACCTCTGAACTATGTCCTCAGCCCTTAGACTGGGCTTTCCATGGCCAAACCCAAAGACCTGTTTATTTGTTTGCTTGATCTTTTTTTTTTTAAATTTTTATTTGTGTGTGCACATTTGTAAGTGTTGGGAAACACACAGGTGTGTGGTTTGTGTACCTGTTATGTGCTCGTGTGTGTAGAAGCCAGAAGTCAACCTCAGATGTCATTCCTCAGAAACTGTTCACTTTATTTCTTCATTTTGAGATAGGGTCTCTCTGTGTCGCTCTGGATATCCTAGATCTATGTAAACCATGCTGGCTTCAAAGACACAGCAATCCAGCTGCGGCTGCCTCCCAAGTGCTGGGATTAAAGGCGCAGGCCGTTACACCCAGCATATTCACTTTACTTTTTGAGACAGGAGTTTTCACTGGGATCTGGGGCTCAGCGATTCAGCCAGGCCGACTGGCCAGTGATCCTCAGGGATCTTCCATCTCTAACGCCTCAGTGTTGTTGGCACAAGTCACCACATCTGGTGTTCACATGAATGCTAACGCTAAAACTCAAGCCCTTACTCTGTAGCCAAGGATGACTTTGAATTCCTGATCCTCCTGCCTCTACCTCCCAAGTGCTGGGACTACAAGCATGAACTACTATGCCCAGTGGCCGAAGGCTTATTCTTCTTATCCCTAAGAGAGTAAAGCTGAGAGATGGATGGTCCTACAGCACCAAGAGTCTACAGAGTGGTACTGTGGTGGGGGCTGGGAGTGGGGCATTACCAAAGCCCCCTCATGTTTTCTGTGCCTAAGAGGATGCCTAAGAAGAGGATGAGGTTAGAGTAGCAGGGCACAGCCTTCTGTAGGGGACTGAAGAGGCTTGGGATTGGCTGGTGAAGATGTAGCTTCTTAGCACAGGTGCCTGGAGGGGGATTGGCTTGGGCAAGGTAGTACAAAGGAAAACACACTAGTCCACATGGCCCCTGGGCTCCTGGCTCTTCCCCAGAGTTCTGAATAGGCTGGTGAGGCGATCTGGTGCCAGCAGGGGGAAGAGGATGAGCAGAGAGCTACAGGCAGCCCCAGGGGCTTTCGGCTAAATGGGAACCAGCATAGTAGGTGGCTTCCTTTCCCAGCCCACTGCTTTGTCATGGCAATACCATGACAGCTGTGGGTAGTGCCGTCTGTCCGTGTGTGTGTGTGTGTGTGTGTGTGTGTGTGTGTGTGTGTGTCTGTGTGTGTGTGTCCCATAGCTGAGGCGGCTGTGGGTAGTGCTGTTCATGTGTGTGTGTCTGTGTGTCTGTGTGTGTGTGTGTCCCATAGCTCAGGCAGCTATGGGTAGTGAAGTCTGTGTGTGTGTGTGTGTGTGTGTGTGTGTGTGTGTGTGTGTGTGTGTGTGTGTGTGTTCCCCATAGCTGAGGCAGCTGTGGGTAGTGCCGTCTGTGTGTGTGTGTGTGTGTGTGTGTGTGTGTGTGTGTGTGTGTGTCCCAGAGCTGAGGCGTGCTGGCTGCGGAGGATGAAAACTGGTGCTGCTTCTGCTCAGCTGGGCCTGGGATTTGTTTCCTTGCTCTATTTTGAGATTGGGTCTCACTGTATGGCCCAAGCTGTCCTGGAACTCGCTGTGTAGCTTAGTCTGGCCTTAAACTTTAACATTCCTCCTGCCTTGCCTCATAAGTACTTGGATTTTAATTCTTTTTTTTTTTTTTTGATTTATTTATTTATTATGTATACAGTGTTCTGCCTGCACGCATCCCTGCAGGCCAGAAGAGGGCACCAGATCTTATTACAGATGGTTGTGAGCCACCATGTGGTTGCTGGGAATTGAACTCAGGACCTTTGGAAGAGCAGCCAGTGCTCTTAACCTCTGAGCCATCTCTCCAGCCCGGATTTTAATTCTTTATCTGCCACCTGAGAGCTGGGTGACCCTGAGCTAAGGCCCCCTGGACCACCTACTGCTTTGTCTGTAAGCTGGGGCAGTCCTGACCCAGGACTGTCACAGGACTCCGTTTCCCTGACACTGTGCTTGTTCGACATAAGGACACAGGTTAGATGAAAGGCTTGGGGTTAGATGCACAACAGTGAGCCATACCTTATCATTTCCAAGAGTCCAAGAAGCACCTTCCCTTCACCCTGCCCCGGGAAGCTCTGGTCACTTTCACAAACCTGTGTGGCCAGGAGTGGTGCTGTACGCCTTTAATCCCAGCACTCAGGAGGCAGAGGCAGGTGGATCTCTATGAGTTTGAGGCCAGCCTGGTCTATATAGTGAGTTCCAGGACAGCCAGGACAAAATAAGCAAACTTGAGTGTGCATATGCCTTACCCGGGAGCAGGTTCAAAGGCAGAGTCACTGGGCAGATGGGGTGAGCCTGGACACTCTGATCTAATTCACATGAGGGAACACCCTGGCTCTTGCTCCTGGTCTTAGGTGATACTGAGTGGCAAAATTGGAAGGCAGGGTCTGGAGAGATGGCTCAACAGTTAAGAGCACTTGCTGCTCTTCCAGATGACCTAGGTTCAATTCCTGGCACCCACGTGGCAGCTCACAATGGTCTATAACTCCAGTTCCAGAGGATCCAATACCTTTTTCTGGCCTCTGTGGGCATTGCACACAAGTAGTGTACAGATACACATGCAGGCCAAACATGCATGCACATAAAATAAAAATAATCTAAAACATTCCTTTAAAAATGAAGGAGTGTAAAGCAGTGGTTCCCAAACATACTGCAGCTGGCAACCGTGCAGGAGAGCCGGGTACAGGACCCCTCAAGTGTCTGGTTCAGGAGGCCTGAGGGGCCTGTGGAGGTGCTTTCCTGCATGTCCCGGGGTTCTCTATGGGAGCAGAAGCCTTGGAGTGTGGATGTGGAGGGAATGCCCTACACCAGGCTCCCCAGCCTGGGGGCTCAGGCAGGACATCCATGGCATGGTTCTGGGACAGAGTTGCTTCTTTTTCATGGAAACTACACAAAGGGACAGGAGGGATTCCTTCCTGGGACCCCAGGCCCCACCCCACCCCCGACTCTCCCTGCAGAGGCACTCACAGGCTTCATGATCCAGGTGATTCCAGGGTTCTTGCGGAACTCCTCCACAAACAGATGGTACTCGCAGGGCATCTCAAAGGTTTTGGGGAAGAAGTCACACTTGGCTGCCTCCACCTTTCCCGCCTCGCGCTCCAGCTGCTTCCGGAACCTCTTCAGGTTCTTTACCATGTAGTTCTTCCTGGTAAGCTGGGCAGCAGGGGACAGGGCAGGCGGTGAGCCTCCTGCTCCCTGCCTTGCCCCCCTCTTTTTAGAAACAATATTTCATTACCTTTATTGGGGCGGCTAAAATGAGAGAAAGAGGACATGATGGCCACTTTCTGAGCTTTTATCCTCAGCAGTAAGTTTCCATTTGCCCCAGGTTAGGACATTTCCCTTCACCCATACACCACAGAGGGAAAAGAGTGTTGGGGCACTACTCTGCCCCTAGTCAACCAACAGCTATTTCTGTAACCATGCACCAAGGCTGGGGATCCTATTACAATCACTTCCGTGTCTGTGGACAGAGATAACAACCCAACCCCTGTAACAGGAGGTACACTCGGACACCTTAAGACCAATGGAGGGCCCGACATAATGGCCCACCCCTTTAATCCCAGAGACAGATGGATCTCTGTGAGTTTGAGGCCAGCCTAGTCTACACAGTGAGTTCCAGGACAGCCAGGGCTACATAGAGAGACCATGTCTCAAAAACAAACAAACAAACAAATAAACAAACAAAAGACCAATGGAAGTATAGGGAGAGTTATCAAGATGGGGATACTTGAACCCTAGAAAAACCCCCAGGCTCCCTTAGAGTCAGCAGCACCCAGCTCTGGGCCCCCCTCTGTCTAGAGAGCTCTAACACTTGCCAATAAGCTTTGTTTTTGTTTTGAGCCCTTTTCTAGTATTCTGATTATTTAACTGATAGAACCCACATACATCAGAGGTCAGGGAGCAACCTCTGGGAGTCAGTCTCTCCCATTATGTGGGTCTTGGGGATTGAACTCAGGTCCTCAGGCTTGGCTACAAAAGCTTTTACCTACTGTGCCATCTTGCTGGCCCTCCTGCCCACCCAGCCTCCACCCTCAGAGTAGCAGGAATAGTCAAAAGGACTCCAACAGACAGCCTGCTGGTCTGGAACCATTCACACTTCTCAGGCATGGAACCTGAGGCTCACCTCATAGTGGTTCCGGAAGTGACTGATCCGCACGTGCTCATCCATGTAGGTGTGGTCAAAGTTCTCACGCAGCCAGCTGACGTCACACCAGTAGAAATCCCACTCGCCTTCACTGCGGTGAGGAAGACAAGGGTCAGGACTGAGGACTGAGGCATTGCTGGGTCTCACGGCACCTAACACGAGTGGGTGGAGGGCAAGTGCTGGCCACAGCGGCTGCCTTCCCTGAGGCACCAGCAGATACAGCCGTCCTGAGCCCAGAGGGCCTTTTATTGCTTCTCAACAGACTGGTCACACCTGCTCCAGTCCCCACCTTTTCCTAAGGTGCAGGGTGCGCCCTGCTTGAACATCCTGTCCATCAGTCACCCACTGCTGCCTCTGCAGGCTGCCTTATAGGGTGGTGGAACAATAAATCCACCCTCTCTGCCCCATGCCCTGCTACTTTGCTTTGGATTTTGATTGTCCCCCAAAGGCTGGGGTGTATCATCAGCCTTGGCATCACTGGGAGGTGGAGGAGCCCTTGAGGGATGGGGCCCAGAAGAAAGATGTTAGTCTATTGAGGGGCATGCCCTTGAAGGGGATATTGGGCAGGCTCTTAGGGCCTCTCTGGCTCTTGACTTTTGGCTTCTGGCTTTGCTTCCTGGCTACCATGAGGCCCCACCATGCTGTTCGGCCTTGCTATAGGTCTAAGAGGAAAGGGCCAACTGATCTTTGGCTAAGACCTCCAGAATCAAGTAAACCTTTACTTAAAAGGGGGGGGGGTCCTCTATGTAGCCCTGGCTGGCCTTGAACTCACAAAGACCTACTTGCCTTCACCTCCCTAGTGCTGGGATTAAAGGTGTGTGCCACTACTGGCAGCATCTTTTCTCATTTTTAAGTTGATTGTCTTAGAAGATATTTTGCCCAAACGATGGAAACCTGACTAAATACTCTCCACTCTGCTTTTTTTTTTTCCTATTGAGGCCAATTTGATAATATAATTCCAGTTAGGCCTCCTACTGTAAATAGGAAAATAAAGCCTAAGGCTCATAGTAGCCTGAGTTTTGAAAAACGCCTTGAGGGATCTGAAGTCGAAACATACAGCAGTGAGTAGGTGGCTACCTGGAGTGATGAACGGAACCAGTCCTGACCTTGAGCAAGTCAGGAAAAATGTCATGGTCTATTGTATTTCCCAAAGGCCTACACTGTCTCTTTTCATCCCAGCGGCTACAGGCTACAGAGACCCGGAGAAACCATGAAAACCTTCTTCAGCAGACGGTACAATGAGTTCTCAGTGTGTGAACAAAAATGACGGCGTTTGACTGCTGACACTCGGTGGCCTTGACATGGTGCTTCCGGGCTGATGCTCCAGCAGCACATGGACAAGCCACTCCGCTGTGGCTCCTGTGAACCCTGACCTGCATGCGGGAGCTGCTGGCCAAATGTCTGAGTAGCTGAGCACTGAGATTTCTATAGAGCAGGGGGAGCAGTGGCCAACAAGTTCCGCTGGGTGTTGGAGTTTCCAGAGGCTCGGGACCAGACTGTCTCTTAGTTTCTCCTGGATGCCAACCGTGCATAGGAACCTGGCCTTCAGGGGTGCTGGGTGCTGTGGAATTCTCCCGTCCCTTCCACTGTGTGGAAATGTCTTTGAGCATGTGAGCCCCGTATTTCCAACAAGCTCCAAATGACTTTTTAAAAGTTTAATAGCCACATCCCTGCTTTTAATTGAGTGTTAAGTGGGAAAATAATATGTACTGAGACAAACTGGTAATCACTGTCACATGATACAAAAGGCTGGTGTTTAAGTCGGAACCAGTGAGTCTCTGGGGAAATCCCAAGTAAATCACATGGGCTAGGATAAAAATGGCCTGTGGGATGGAGTGGCGCTGTCAGGAATTACCCATCTCCACGGGTCAAGAAAGCATTAAAGGATCTGCTTAGGGAGGAGGGCCAGCAGGATGGAGGAACAAGAGAAGTAATGGGGATACAAGCAAAGTAGAGTGACGTTCATGTGTGGCAACACCATCACGAAACTTACTGTTTGGGATGCTAATTTAAAAATTTTAATAAAAATTTCCCACTTCCAGATTTTGTTCTGAGTTTCTTTTTAAACAGGCTAAGGGGTTGAATAGATGTTTTCTGTAGAGATTTAGACATGACCCACATGCACAAGAAAATGTTATCATTAATCACCAAAATATGAAAAACCATCATGACATCCCAGTAAACATGTACCTGGATGGCACTTTTTTTAGATGGATAATAATGAACATTGGCAAGGATGTGGAAAAACTGGGGTTATGTATGCTGCTGCTAGAAACATGAAATGGAGAAGCCACTTCAGAGGATTCTGATACTTCCTCAAGAATTTAAACACAAAGTTACTACAAGACCCAATAATTCCACAATAAAAACATATCCACTCAAAATTTGTATGTGAATATTCAGACTTTATTTATAACAATGTCAGTGTGGAAACAGCCCAAATGTCCATCTGCTAACAAATAGATAAGAAGAATCTGCTATGAAATGGAATATTATTTAGACAGAATAGGGGTGGGGATGAATAGCTGATGTGTAGCCTAGAATGCATGAGGTCCTGGGTTCTGCCTCCAGCACTGGAGATGGGGGTAAGGTACTGATGCAAATGAATTCATGCTCAACATGGCTGTGCCTTTGAAACGAGACCAGACAAACTGGGCAAGGCAGCTCACACCTATAATCCCAGCACTCAGGAGGACCACTAAGGGTCTGAGGTCAGCTTAGGCTACAGAGAGAATATCAGGCTAGCCAGGGCTACTAGTGAGATGCTGACTCAGGAAGGGAGGGAGGGGGCAGGAGGGAGGGGAAGGAAGGAAGGGAAGGGAAGGGAGGGAAGGGAAGGGAGGAAAGGGAAGGGAGGGAAGGGAAGGGAGGGAAGGGAAGGGAGGGGAAGGGAGGGAGGGAAGGGAAGGGAGGGAAGGGAAGGAAGGGAGGGGAAGGGAAGGGAGGGAAGGGAAGGGAGGGGAAGGGAGGGAGGGAAGGGAAGGAAGGGAAGGGAAGGGAGGGAAGATGACAAAGGGTAATTGTCCAGCTCCGTTTGTATGAGGTGTTGAGCAGAACAGATTGAAGTTGAGGTTGGGCTGTAGGGAAAGGAACTTGGGAGGAACTCCTGGAGGGTGGGGTTTCTTTAGGGGAAGAGGAAAATGTTCTGGGGTGGGACAGTGAGGATTACACAATGTTATGAGCATAAAAGACAGGAATTGAAGCAGGCCTGGTGGTGCAGGCCTGGAGTCCCGCACTCAGAAGGTGGAGGCAGGAGGATCAGGAGTTCAAGGCTGTCCTGGGCTATAAGAAAAAATAGGCATGGAACTGGTTTTTGATATTGTTTTTGTTTTTGAGACAGGGTATAGTTTTTGTTTTTGTTTTGAGACAGTCTCACTATGTTGACCAGGCTGGCCTTGAACTCACAGAGCCGACTGGAATTGTATATTTTAAAAAAAGGGTTTATTTTCTCATAGGTGAAATTACCTTTCAATAAAAAGGGGAGAGATGAAGGAGGGGACAGCAAAAGGTGACAGGTAGATCTTTCACCGTGGGCTGTCACTGTCATGGCTGCCCTGAGCTCTGGGCAGCTCTGGGCAGTTTGTTCTAGAACTGTCTCCTGAGGTTATGTTCACTGGAAGATAGCAGCGGGATCCAGGAACACGAGGATACAAATGGACAAAGTGATCAGCACCTCATCGCTCCCAGCATCCCTGGGGGGGGGAGGTCTGTCCGTTTGTTCATCTGTACGTGTGGAGGCTGTCTCCAGGGGTGCCAGTGAGAGGTGGGGGTAGGTGGGGGGGGGTGACAATGACAAAACACCTGGCCAGATGTTGCCAACACTCCAGTAAGTTTGACCAAGATACGTCTTGATCCCCAACAATCAAGACAGAAATAACTGCACAGCAAGGAACTGTGAAGTGTGTTTCGGGGCGAAGCAGTCACAAAACTGGGGAGCTGAAGGACCCTTTGAAAGTGACCCTTCAGCTGAGATCTGAAGCGTAAAGAGGGCAGTGGAAGAGGGTTGTAGCAGAATGGGGCCCCGGGGCTGGAAAGGGCGTGTTCAAGGATGTGAAGGAAAGCCACAGAGGAAGCCAAGATGTCAGAGCTGAACTCAAAGAGCAGTCTAGGACCCAGGAGAGCCAAGTCTTGTAGAACAGCATGGACTGGAATCCATCCTGAGACTGCAAGGTCTTCATGCACATACCTCCATCATGCTCGCTCTGTGTGGCCTCTCTTTTTTTTTCAGAGCTGAGGACCGAACCCAGGGCCTTGCGCTTGCTAGGCAAGCGCTCTACCACTGAGCTAAATCCCCAACCCCAAACTCTTTAATAATGGAGGAAGGTAGTAAATGACTGACGAAGGCCAGGGATCCTGCCCATTCTGTCACCCTTAAAGTACCCGGATGCCTGTCTGGCTCCTGAAGTGGCTGCTGCCATTTCAGGCTTCACAGCCCATTCCTCAGCAGGAAGCAGGAAAAGGTAATGTTTGGCCACATCTGTTCTAAGTCTGAACAGACAGGCTTATGGTCTCAACCAAGACCTAACTGTTTATAAATGTAAGTCCGCCAAGACTTGGGTTCACAGAGAATGAAGAGATGGAGAGGCCTTGGCCTGTGGGCGCTTCCTGATTTGACAGCTCTTAAAACAGCCAGTCTAGGATGAGCCATTGAGGATGACTCCCACAGTGTCAGCTTCAGATCCCCTGCCACCTGACCGGAGAACAGAGGCTGAGAGAGACAGGTGGGACCCAAGGACACCAGCAAATGGGGACAGTTTCCTTTTCTCTGAACCACCTTCCAGCCCCTCACTCTCCTCTAGCTTGTGCCCTAACTCTCTGACTCATCCTACAATACACGATGCCTCTGGCTCCAGGGAAGGAAAAGCCGTTCTGTTCCCAGGATGATTAGGAGATGAGCAAGGCAAACCCAGAGAAGCTGCCACTATCATCTTCATTAGCACTGAATAATAATGAGAGGGCCACCCGGATGCCGCCTGCCACGGCAGCTGACCACTTCCGGTGGGCTGATTCAATCCATCTCCTGCCGCATGAAGCTCTGGGCTTCAGAGCACTTGCTCACTCCTTTCCTTGCTCGTGGAGAGGCTGCTGCAACTGGGTGGAGCCAGGCTGAGATTCTGAAGACGAGGCATTAGGCACACACCCTGCTCAATGGCTTTCTATGTAGAGCGCTCTCAAAATGGCATTTTCATTACTCTGTGCCCTGGTTTCCTGCTAGTGAAATGGAGATCATAATAGCATTTGCCCGGAAGATCTGAGGTGGGAGATCTGTGGTGTGGTTAAGAGACAGTTTGTGTTAAGTTCTACAGGGTGCCTAGAAGGCTTAGTGACCAGAACACAATGAATTGCTCATTGGGTGCCTTGACATGGTTGGCTGTTGACTCCCTATCCCTCAAATCTATGCTCCTCTTTCTCCACAATAACAGAAGCTACCCTGGTGACAGGTGAAACAGGATCTTACCATGTAACTTTGACTGTTACTATGAGACCAGGCTGGCCTTGAACTCTCGGACATCTGCCTGCCTCTGCCTCCCAAGCGCTGAAATTAAAGGCATGTGCTACCATACCCAGCTGGAATCTCTGCATTTACCTGGGAACATGTGGCACACATTATCCAGACTTCCTTGCAGTGAGGTGTGGCACGTGGCTAAATTCCACCATGGCTGCTGAGGGGCAATCTCATTCACTGATCTCGCCTCATCCTGCCACTGCTATATGAAGGCAACATTGAAGTTCCGCCTCAGTCATGAAGATGAGGCTTCACTCAGAGGAGAGCAGGATGGAAAGGCTGAAGGAGATGGGCTCCACATTGTGGTGGTGGTGAGGGGTATGCTCTGCCATCTCTGAACTTTCATGTCAGGAACTTCGCCTGCCAAAATCTCTTGTGGGTTTCTGTGACACACACTCAGCCCTCAGTAACTGCACCTACTGCTGCGTGCCACGTATTGTTGTCTCTGTCACTGTCCCCAGAGCCTAACACAAAAGAAGAGGTGAAGACCTGCCAGTCGGGTCCCTCACTCTAGGCTGCAGACTAATAAGTGGCAGGGGAAGAGCAGTCCTAGGCCAGGCTGGTCCCTGGTGAGCTGGGCAGCAGGTCTGTGAGATCACATTCCTTGTTTCTGCTGTGAGCAATGAGACACTGACTGGGCTGGAGTCCTACAGGGCACTCGCATGCTGTGTTAGTTTTCTCATTGCGGTGCCCAAAATACTGGACAAGAAGTAATGTAAGGGAGAAAGGAGTTGGAGGGGGTACAGCCCATTAGAGTGGCAGGAGCATGTTGGTCAATTCTCCGAAGTCAAGAAGCAGGAAGGGATGAATGCTGTTGTCCAGCTGTCTTTCTCCTTTTTAAATTCAACCTGGGACACCCCCCACCCCCAGCCCATGGGATGGTTCTGCCTGCTGTTAAAATGGATCTTCCCATCCTGACTAACCTCACAAACATAACTAGTGGCTTGTCCCGACAGATGATTCTAGGTCCTGTCAAGTTGATAAGTGATAACCATCGCACATGCCATAGGGTCTTAAACAATTGGCCAGCACCTAGAAAGGTATCACATCACACTAAATGTTTGTAAGGCTTAAATGTAATAGTGATGATGTCAGCAATGCATGCAACACACTGTGGTGCTAAAGAAACTTCACATCCACTTTAGGGCAAGTCCGGGAGCTACCAAGGAGCTACTGAGAGGAAGACAAAAGGAACCCAGGACCTGGGAGACCAGGGAAGAAGGGCTGATTGGAGGGAGTAAAAGACGTCTTACTCTTTCACTTCTACCCATCCAGGTCTGTGGCGTAGGACGTCCATCAGTGTGTTCATGAGTGCGGTCTTGAACCGAATTAATGTTCTCGGCTCTCTGCAACATAAGACAGCAAAAAACATGCTCAGGACCGTGACTTTCCTAGGATGTCCCCAAGGATCGGAACAAAAGAGAGGAAGAAAAGCCATGTTCTACCTGCAGATACCACAGGCAGAAGTGCCGCATCTCAGAGCTGGGTACCACAGCCCGCCAACACTTAGACTAGGCAAACCGAGACTCTCAGCATCTTTGAGCTATTGAAAAATAGCAAACTAAGCATGCAGTGCATGCCTGTAATCCTGGAGGCTGAGGCAGGAGGAATGCCATGAGTTTAAGGCCACCTGGATTTCAGAGTGAGTTCCAGGACAGCCTGGACCATAAAGTGAGACTTTATCTCAAAATAACAATAACAATAATAATAATGGCTGGAAAGATGGCTCAGTAACTAAGAGCAGCCTGGCTGCTCTTCCAGAGGACCTGGGTTCAACTCACAGCACCACATGGCAGCTTATAACCATCTATAACTCCATTCCCAGAGGACCCCAGTGCCCTCTCTGGCCTCTGTGGGTACCAGGCATGCACAGATTACACAGACATGCATGCAGATATAATACTCATGCACATAAAAAAAAATAGTAAGCCAGGCATGATGGTTCATACTTGTGACCCTAGTCCTTGGGAGGCGGAGGCAGGAGGATCAGTTGAAGGTCATCTTTGGCTAAATAGTTTGACACCAGCCTAGGCTGCACGAGACCTTATCAAAAAAAATAAAAATAAAATGATTTTTAAAAACCAAAACACATTTCTCATGTCCCTACTATATGCCAGGCAAGTCTGGCTGCCTCCGATGTGCTGTGACTAATTCTTCTATCACATGGTAAGTGTTTGCAGATCCCCTTCCCAAGCAGTCAGCTGGGGAGATGGAGCAGACGTACCTTTCCCTGTTCCTCCTACTAACGCAGCTAAAAACCCCAAACAGTATGTATAAGCAAATGTAAGAAGACTGAACGGTACACAGGGAGGTTGCCGTGGACCAAAGGGATAGCATTAGTGACTTCCCCAGTTTCCTTCAGGCCTCTCTATGTCCCAGATGTGGAAATGAAAAAGACAGCCAGTGGGCATCCAGAAATGCTAATGGCCATCGGCCCTGAACAACCTTTAAAGGTAGCCTGCTCTCTCCAGCCTAGGGAAGCCCAAGACAGAGCAGCCTTCCACAGCAGGATGTACAGTAACGGCTCCACTCTAGTGAAACACCGAGAGAACACCCGCTGTCCACCTCCACGGGTGCCAGCAAAGGTCAAGTGGGGAGTCCTCACTTCTCATGAGGTTGCATCAGTGTAGCCCAGTACTGGCTCTGTCACTGGATGGTGCAGAGGAGGAGGAATCCAAGGCTGAGGCTTTCATCTGCCTCAGGCAGTACGAGTTCGCTTTGTCCTTACCATAGGACGCCAAGGGTTGGGGAAGCCTGAACTTCCCCATGCAGGCATGAGGTTGTCCCTCCAACTCTGAGCTGATGTTAAAGGGCACAATTACCAATTAATCCACTGAAAACAATTGATTGAATCAATAAAATAAAAGTTCTTGAAAGACCAATAAACTTGGAAAATCTATCAGCAAGACGGACAAAGAGAAGACACTGTTATCTCCAGGTGGGCTGAAATGGGGGGGGCACTACAGACCCTACAGATACCAAGGCCACAATAAGAGCACACTAATGCCTCTGCACACCTAAGTATGGCAGCTGAGAAGACATAGTCCTTGAAATGCCCAGACCCCTACAGCTCTCCCGGTGTGGCACACATTTGAGTAGCTGTGTATTCCTAGAGAAACGGAATCCATTGTGTGAAACACACCCCCAAAAGATGGGCCTGGGCCCACAGGGTTTCCCTGCAGAATAAATTCCTTGAGACGTCTGTTCTGCACTGTCTTCTGGAAAAAGGAAGAGTGGGCCCATCTGTGACACTAATGTAACCTAGTAGTGAAATAGGATGTGGACGGTTAACATAAAAAAACAAAGCTGCAGGCTAGGGGCTTGTGTGTGGCGAGCCACAGAGCCCTTGCTTAGCATGTGGGAGACCCTGGGTTACACTTCCATCACCACACATACAGGTGTACACATGTATGTTCATAAACATAGTCACCACGCCAACCATAGGAACCTCAGTGAACCGTGAAGATCAAACACCGGCTACAATGTGTGCAGTGCAAACCCCTCCATACCCCAAAGTCTCCAGGAAAGAGTATTGCTTTCCTGCCCAGTCCAGGTAGGTTGTGCTTAAGGCAGACTAGTAAGTGCTGAATTCGGAGCCCAGGCTGTTATGAATGCAGAGTGCCAGAGGGGAGGGATCAGGGTACACAAGCATCGGGTTCACAGGACTGGCTCCCAAGTCCAACCAGCCCTGCCCCGCAAGTGCAGGATTCCCTCCAAGGCACTCGGCTCTTTTGAGTGTCCAGTTTCTCCACCTGCATAACGAACACATTAGGAGGGTCTGCATCAGGGGTAGGAGTAAGGATTTGATGACACAGCACGGGGAGTGGTGGGGTGGCCCACTAGGGCTACAATCATAATTATTGAACTAAATAGTAGAGATATAGTCAGGTGTCATGGAGCTTACCTGTGATCCCATTGGGAATTCAAGGTCAGCCCGGGCCACAAAGGGAGAGCCCTAACTCAAAAAGACAAATGTGGGTGGGGGGGGTAAAGCAGAGATTGAGGAGGGGACAGAAAGGAGTGGGGAGGGAAAGAGGGCAGGAAGGAGGGCCGGTCCTGTGCATATGGACTGAGAGAGAACACTCACCGCTCTTTTCCTTTTGACACTCCATGGCCCTTGTTACTTTGATTCTGTAGGGAGAAAGGAAAAATGATGTAACAGTTTTGCACATCCACCTACCTTTCCTGTTCAACCTGGTTCAGCGAGTGAGCTGCTCAAACTACCACACTCAGCAGGGCATAGGGCATAGGTCCTCAGGCGTGAACATCTAGCCTGGCTGTGTTCTCCCTCATCATCTCCACCCAGAAATCAGGGCAGAACTTACCTGCTTACCAAGGAATGAATTCTCCATCACTGGAGAACTGTGCCACAGGCAAGATCGCGGTATGAAGGTCTGCACGACAGTGCTTCAAATGCCAACCCAAAGCTGCACTTGAGAGCTCCTCTGGCTCCGTGAGAGGAGTCTGGGCCTTCCATTCTAACTTTGAGTGTTGATTGTACACGAGACCTAGGAAGGGGCTGTTGTAGTGGGGTTTTTTTGTTTGTTTGTTTTTTAACACTTTGCTCTTTGGGGGCCCTGCCACCTGGCTCTCAAATGAATACACAGAGACTTATTCTTACTTTTGAATGCCTAGCCTTTCCTTGGATTGTTTCTAGCCAGTTTTTCTTAACTTAAATTATCCCATCTATCTTTTGCCTCTGGGGTTTTGCCTTTCTGTATTCTATGTCTTTCTTTACTTCTTACTCCATTGCTGGCTGGGTGACTGGGTGGCTGTATGACTATGTGGCTGGGTGGCTGGGTGGCTGGGTGGCTGTGTGGCTGTGTGGCTGGGTGACTATGTGGCTGGGTGGCTGGGTGGCTGGGTGACTATGTGGCTGGGTGGCTGGGTGGCTGGGTGACTATGTGGCTGGGTGGCTGGGTGGCTGGGTGGCTGTGTGACTATGTGGCTGTGTGACTATGTGGCTGGGTGGCTGTGTGGCTGGGTGACTATGTGGCTGGGTGGCTGGGTGACTATGTGGCTGGCCCCTGGTGTCCTCCTCTCCTTCTCCTTCTCCTTCTTTTGCTCCTCCTTCCTCGCTTCCCCTTCTATTTATTCTATTTATTCTCTCTGTCTGCCAGCCCCATCTGTCTCTCTCTCCTGCCTGGCTATTGGCCATTCAGCTCTTTATTCAACCAATCAGGTGTTATAGGCAGACAAAGTAACACAGCTTCAAAGAGTTAAAAAAAATACAACATACAAATACAAACAAATACAAAAGACTGCAACACATCTTGGCATCATTAAACAAATACTCCATATAAATAAAACATAACACATCTTCAACTAATATTCTACCACAGAGTGAGCCCATTTCTCAGAGTGATTTCCTTACACCCCAAAAGACCTACCCAATCCTTCTATGGGTAGGTGTGCTTGACAGGAATTCCAGCCACACCCCCACGGTTGTACATGTCTGATCATGTGATCTATGCACATGCTTGGAGTAGCCATGTGCATGCGCGGGTTGGCCCTTAAAAAGGCAGGCCCTGTGTCCCCTCCCCCCTTCCCCCACACATGTCCTTTCAGCAGACCTGATCACATCTATCCCTTTCTCCTTGTCTGAATAAAACTCTCGTTAGTGGATTCTGTGGTGTTTCGTGACTTTTCCTCTCAGGGTAAGAGCACCACTAAAAACCACCATTGGTGTCGTGCACAACAACCACTCCCGGTGCTTTGTGCCTGGGAACCTGTACCAGGGAGTCTGCTCTGTCCATGACAGCCCACTGTCCATCTGCCTGGCCGCCGGATCCTGCACACACCACTGGCTACTTCGATTGGTGAGTCCCCCACTTTTCAGCCAGCGTAAACAGTCTTCTGGATCTGTGGGGATGACCGTCGAGTGTCCGGTGCCCCATGGTGTCCCTGAGACTGGGAGTACCCCCGACCATGGTCTTCATTGGCTACGGTCGGTCCCTATCACAGGCTAAAATTTCTAGCCATCTCCCACGTCTGCAGTTTGAGATATAATTCTCGTGGTCAGACCCCCATCTTTGGGTGTGTCTTCAGGCTGTGTAAGGCCGACACATTTTTCTGGCTTGACGAAGCAGTAAATGCTGTCAGACTCCTGGGGAGTCCTTGCCTTCACACGCCTTAGGCCCCTGCCTTACATCTGATGAGACATCTGGCAGTCTGTGCCTGGTACAGATCCATCCTTGGCCTTAGGGACGCCTGGGGCCTTGGCTTGGGATCACGTTTGGTTTTTTTATTTTTTTTATTTTTTGTCTCTCTGCTACATGAACTTAGACATGGGAAATAAGGCTTCCAACCCCATCAGTCCCACCTCTCCCCTAGGATGCCTTCTGGAAGCTTTAAAACCTTTAAAACCTCTCAGCTTAATGCCTTGCTTAAAGATTCCTAAGTTTGTCTGTCTCTGTACTAAGAGATGGCCCAAATGTGCCTTAGAAAATAACAAAAAATGGCTGCTGAGGGTTCCTTAGACCCTGATATTTTATGGGAATTATCTAACTTCTGCCAGCGAACAGGCAAACGGAAGGAGTTGCCTTATATTATAGCTTTTTTCTATCTAAGTTCTAAACCTTCTCTTCTGGATTCCTTCTCTCCTGCCCATGCTCTTAGCTATGCCTGAACCGGATGAATCTCTGACTCTGGAACCTCTAACTCTGGATCCTGCAAATGAACCTCTGCCTATCTGACTTTCTGCTCCCACTCCTGCTCCCAGGGCGCCTGTCCTTCAGCTCCTCCTCTGGCTTCCTCCTCCTCTTCAGCAGCAGGCATTTCAAAAGGCTCAGCTCTGGCTCCGACCTTCACACCTCCTGCTGCTAGTCATTCAAACCCGCCAACCATTCTCCCTTTGTGAGAGGTGGCCAGAGTGGATGGACTAGTTAAGGTCTGTGTCCCATTCTCTCTCACAGAACTCTCTCAGATAGAAAAGAAACTGGGTTCTTACACCTCTAATTCTGCTCCCTTTATTAAACAGTTTCACTATATTACCCGGTCTTAATAGTCTCACCTTTCACAATGTATATATGATACTTGCTAATAACCTACTTCCTGAGGAGTGCAGGCGGGTTTGGGAACAGGCTAGGATGCATGCAGATGAGGTTCACCAAACTAACCCCACACGCCCTCCAGGGGCTGAGGTGGTTCCTGATCAGGACCCACATTGGGATTATAATACCCAGGGTGGGTCTCTAGCCAGGGATAGGTTTATTACCTGCCTCCTGCCAGGCCTCTGTAAGGCTGCCCTAAAACCAGTACACTATGAAAAACTAAAAATGATCATTCAAGATAAGGATGAAAATCCGTCTCATTTCTTAGGCTCACTAAGGCTCTCCTTCAATATACTAGCCTAGATTCTAAAAGCCCAGAGGGCAGGCAGCTCCTTATGACCCACTTTGTCTCACAGAGCTTCCGCGACATAAAGGCAAAACTTAAACACTTGGAGAAAGGCCCTCTGACCCCACAGGCAGAAGTGTTAGTGGTGGCATTTAAGGTATACCATGGGAGAGATGAAAAAGCCCCCCCAAAATAACTGCCAGATGCTGGTACATGCTGTCCAACCGGCTCCCCGAAAGCTGCCGGGTCCCTGTTTCAAGTGTGGGGAAGATGGCCACTGGGCCCAGGCTTGCACCACCGCCCCACAGGGGGACACCGATAGGGCCTTGCCCAAAATGCTGCCAAAAGGGCCACTCGTCAGCTGACTGTCCTAATGCACCCAGCAGCATAGGAACGCCAGATCAGGACCACCCTCTGGCTGACTTCCTAGGCTTGGCTTTCAGCAACCATTGACGCTGCCTGGGTCCTGCCCTGGCCACTCCCATCTCACACAGGGAACCCAGGGCAGCAATAACAATATCTGGGCGACCCATCTCCTTCCTTCTGGACACCGGAGCTACCTATTCTGTCCTGAGAGAGTATTGGGGACCCACTTCTTCTTCTCGTCTCCCTATTGTCAGGGAGGGGAAACCTCACCCGGCCTGGACACGGACAGGATTGACAGATTGATAGCTCTTTCTCGATTCCCACCACTTAATTGTATTTTCAGAAGCATCCCTCTTACACACACATTCTTAGTGGTGCCAACCTGCCCTGTGCCTCTAATGGGAAGGGATTTTCTAGCTAAGGTAGGAGCGTCCATTTCTTTCGCTCCACACATTCCCCTCATCCCAGACATGCCAGCAGCTCCTCTTCTTCGTCTTCTAGTCACCCATCCTGCTGACTCTAACAGTTCTTTTCCCTTGCCAGCCTCTCAAGTAGACCCAAAAGTCTGGGACATCCAGAACCCTTCTATCGCTAGGCACCATCCGCCTATGACTCTCCAGTTACAGGACCCTACCAGATATATTACCCAAGCTCAGTACCCTCTCTCACTCCAGAGCCTAAGAGGACTTAAGCCTATCATTTCTGACCTTCTCAGGAAAAAGCTGCTCCACCCAACCTCTTTGCCTTTTAACACCCCCATACTTACAGTTAAAAAGTCTAATGGAACCAACCGCCTGGTTCAAGAACGCCAGCTCATTAATTCTGCAGTGGTCCCCCTCCATCCTGTAGTGCCTAACCCTTATACTCTCCTGTCCACTATCCCTTCGGGAACCTCTCACAACTCCGTCCTAGACCTCAAGGATGCCTTCTTTTCTATTCCTCTCAGTCCTCAGTCTCAAAATACCTTTGCTTTCACCTGGACTGACCCTGACACTCACCGGTCCACACAGCTGACCTGGACTGTTCTGCCACAAGGATTCAGGGACAGTCCACACCTATTTGGTCAGGTCCTGGCCTCTGACCTGCTCTCTCTGTCTCTCCCTGGCTCTAAACTAATACAGTGTGTAGAAGACATTTTACTCTGCAGCCCATCATTACAAGTTAGCTAAACTAACACCTCTGCTCTCCTAAATTTCTTATCCAGCTGAGGTTACAGGGTACCCCCTTCTAAAGTTCAGCTGTCCACTCCCCAGGTCACCTATTTGGGTCTAACCATTACTCCAACCCACAAGGCTATTACTATAGATAGAAAGCATCTAATCCAATCTCTTGCAGTCCCTTCTACTAAACTGGCTTCCTACGGTCTTGGGTTCCATCTTTTTCTCTCCTTGCTCGCCCCTTATACGAGGCAGCTCAGGGCTCCCCCA